ATTCCCGTTTTTAAGTGCAGTGCTAATTATGCACCTCTTCAAGAAAAATAAAAGGAGTAATTCACTTTCTTCACGATCTACAAACAGTCGTAATCCCATGCGTCAAGTCTATCAAAATTCCCTATTTAAATGCATTGTTTGTTCCATCTTATTTCGTGTGAGGGAGAGATCAAATAAAGACGAAAAATAAACAGAAAAGAAAAACAGGTAAGAAAGAAAACTCAGAACTCTCGATCTTCCTGGTTTTGATAGTTGTGGGATGAAAACGATTTTCTTAAAGAGAAGTTCTGCGTTACATTTCAAAAGAATTATGTCACCCAGTTTCGCAATGTTTTCAATCATGGAGTTATCACAAAGTCAATTCCTATAACTGCTCAACGTTTAAGCCACTGTCTATTTAAATTGTGAAATACGGTTGAAAATGATATTCAGATACATGACACGAAACGTGATTTTATAAGGGGTGTCAATAGCATGGAATTCTTTAAAATGTTGATTTTGTTTTATCTTACCGCAGCACGTTTTTGTTAATGAAATGAACACAAAGTTCCTGCTTTTCCATTATAAACATTTATAATTTCTTAAATTTTCAGGATGTTTTCTACATTCTTAGAGCAATTGATAAAGAAATCAATAATTCTCAATGGCATGTCAAAATCTAGGGGTAATTCCAACGTATTGGCTTCTTTTTTGTTACATAGCTCATGAATAGACATCAAAACTATTAATTTTTTTGGCATTTTGGTTTGATCCAAGCTCAAATATGGCTATAATTTCAATGCAGTGGTCACAAATTTTAGATGTGATTGATAATGTATGGTATGAATTAATCTGGACTGCTCCTAAATGTTAGAAAGGTTTTTGTTAGAAAGGTTTTATTGAACACATTCCATCGTCGCAGTCTTACAACTGAATTGCCATTGGAATACAATTAAAAAGTACATGTATTTACAAGTTAAAAGTACAATAGTCTAAGGACTATGACATAATATATATTAAGAATATCATATTAAAACTCTATATCAAAATTGAATGAGTATGGAAAGAAAGAAGGGATGAATGATGAATGAGAAATGACACCTGCATGGGTAGTAGTTGAAGTAATTGATACTAAAATAAATGAATTTTAAAGACGTCAATGAAAAATACATTCATGTGACTCGATCGAATTGAAAAAGAGAGAAATATATAAACCAATAGATAAAATACCTTGCACCAAATAGCAAATACCAAGTAATGATCACAATTATATAATTCTCTGTATGAGTGAATATAAAAATGAAGCCAAAATATAAAATAGAATAAAGGGACAACCGTTATGTGATTTTAAGTAAGAGGATAGGTAAGTGCCCCACCCTCCAACAACAACAACAACAACAAAACACACACGGTATAAAAAGGACTTCACGATTAAAGGCTTTCGGCAGCCCCCCCCCCCCCCATAATGTCAAATCGAATAGGTTGCATTGCTCTCTGCGTAACATTCCATTGCGAATATAATCTACAATATATCACCAACCTCAGCTGCTTCAATGTTCGTAAAGGTAACTAGGCTCTCTCCGTCAGTATTTGGTTACGATTCTCATCGCAAACAGCTCTCTAAATAGCCCTTTTCAATTTCAGAAAGTGTTACTTTTTTCCTACTCCGCTTGTTTTTGTCTGCCACACACGGAGTGCCAAGACCTTAACTCTTTCATTCATAGTTGTTAGAAGATTAACATAAATTATTGAATCGAGGGATAAATCTACCGCTGTCAAATATGTGAAATGTCGCTTTTAAACAAGCAAGGGGAAAGATGACGAAGGAAAGAAGAATAAAGGAAATGTGTAGTACTGGAAATTCTAAGCACACTTTGATCCTATAGTATAGTTGCTATGTGTAAAGTTAATATTGGTGAAGGACTAAAAGATACTTTGGAGATCCGAAAATTAGCTTCAATGTCACTTCGTATTTGGAATAAATAATGTTTAAAGCCTGATACCATAGCGAATGACGTCAATTAGTAGCAATATTTTGATGCCGTCATTTTTATGAATTAAGCGCTCAACACCGCAATGGAATTTGCGCCTACGGATATAACAAAAATTGCATGTATATTCTTATTGGTATTGGAAGCGGTTAATACATATCAATTTTTAAATACTTTGATGTTGTGAAACTTTTGTGAGTTTGTCTGCAGGCATCATGTGACCTTTGACACCTCGACTTGAACTTGACAGGTCAACCAACTACCTGTAGAGAGAGAGAGAGAGGGGGGGAGAGAGAGAGACAGAGAGAGACAGAGAGAGAGACAGAGAGAGAGAGAGAGAGACAGAGAGAGAGAGAGAGGGGGAGAGAGACAGACAGAGATACAGAGAGAGACACACAGAAAGAGACACAGGGAGAGAGAGAGAGAGAGAGAGAGAGAGAGAGAGAGAGAGCGAGAGAGCGAGGGCAGGGAGAAAGCCAACTCGTCCAGTCGAGGATTCGATGTGCGGTAATTTATGGCTTGTTTGCAAGTTGATTGTTGTCCAACTAGCCGGTAGGTATCTCGCAAATGGAAAGAGATGAAAGACTGATCTCTGTCACGGGTTCATCCAATCAGAAACTGAATCAGTGTGTAGTGTAAATGTTTTTATACGAAATAAGTTGCGATGAGGAATTTGCCCACTGGATAGACCACTCTCTTGTAACTTTTCATTTTGTCTGCATGCAAGGCGTTGATTTGTAAGGGGAGGCAAAGCGGTTTAAATGATTATTTACCGCTGCCTGAGAGATGAGCAAAATATGTGTGGATGCCAAGATCATACCTTAATTTCACGCTGTGATAACGTTTTCAATATTAAATTCGATTCATTTATATATGTCATCATTCCATTAAAATCAAAAGTCACACAGATGAAATGCAAAAACAGACGAATGTAGAAATATTTAGAAATTCACAAATTTAATAGAAAGTTACAAAAATGACAGGGGCAAAGAAGAGAGAGAAACAATCAATATGCAACGGAATATGAATAGAAATTGAATTAAATCGTGCTCCAAAGTTGATCTATACAATTTTACCCCAGGGTGTCGCTGGATTGATTGTGCTTTATACTGCAAGATACGAAATCCTCTTATCTAGGTATAAAACGTACCCTCACAGACCCTTTTAATGGTGAAATATAAGACCCTAGATATCAAATTATCGAGGAGTCAACCAATTATAAGATACTGAATATTGCATTAGAGCCGCTTTAATGATAATTATTCTAGACTTTTATTGATGTTTTTGACTGAGAGGATTGTCCATTTCGATGTCATCTTCCTATTTGTCTGTCTGTGTCGCACTGGGCGACGCCAAAATGTCTGTAAATTGTCATAACACTTTTTTTGTCGGGAACAAACGAAATTTATTCCAAAATTATCCTCTTGAAATACCTTTCAAGCGGCCCATCAAGCACGCACTCTGAAAGGATGACAAACTTTTCGAAAGCTTTGCACTCTGATTTATTGCTGCGCTGTGATTGGTCAAAAGGTTTAGAATAAAACAATGACACCGCCTCCTTTTCTTGGCTAGTCTTTGATATTCTACCTTTATCGCAGACGAGTTCCGGTACTTATTACCAATAACATTTTCCCCATCACTTGAGTGCGAGAGAGAGAGAGAGAGAGAGGGGGGAGGGGGAGACATATAAGGTGAGAGAACGAGAGAGAAAACGAGGAGGGAGAGAGAGCACCCTCGATTTTTTGTGTGTGTGCAAAGTATACGGATAGCTCACGAGCTCTTAATTAAAACATGGACCTTACCACAGGTCCATGATTAAAATATCAGAAAAAGTCTGCGCTAATTCCGATGTAAGACTAGATGGGCGCAACAAAATTCATCACAAACCTCTCATGGTATTTGGTGTAATCATACACTCTTAAAATTGTTGCAGAAGTTTTTCCTTTCGCCTGTTGGGAACATTCACTTCTAGATTTTTGGAACTGGTTGAAGTGACCATTACGCTGGAGCTATACGCGGAACATTCGGAAACAGGTGCGTACCGGTACTATAGTATTCCCTATGGTTTTCTTGTACATATGAATTTCAGTTTTCTCCGATTTTTATTTACTTTTGAACTACATGTATTTCAGTAATTACAATTATCTTTGTAAATGTACCCAGCATTTTGGTAAACATATCTTTTTTTAAAAGGTTAACACTTTGGTAAGATTTATTCTTCTCGAAGATGAAATTCAAATTGACCGGATGACATATATGTATTTATTGATTGCAGGTTGTTTATTCAGTCGTGTACTGCCTGAATAATTGTGTTTTCCGTCATTAGTAGGACTAAAAATAGGCTTGCGCATTTTTTTCTTCGATTGGATAAAATTACATGTGGGAATTGTGGGGGATTGCAGCTATCAATCTTTGATTTGATTTCTGGTTTGTGTTAAAAGTACTAGCAGATTGAATAGAACGTCACGGTCACACATCAATGCCTACGAAGAAGAAATCATTTAGATATGATTTTTTTTCCTTCTCATTCTGATGTATCTTTTAGAAAAGTTCACTTTGTAGTGCATTACAAACGCACTAAGGGGTACGATCGAGACTAACAAAAGAGATATGACACCAAATTATATTAAAACCCGTAAGTGTATTGTGGGAAGATAGGATAGGGCTAAAACTAGTCGATAGAGATGAAAGAAAACACTTTAAAAGAAACGATAATAAACGGTAAAACATTGGCTTCGGTTGCACAGTACTTGGAATGAACGTTAACAATTTCTTTAAGACTACACGCATATCATGTTTCATCATGTTCATGGTTACGCTCTAACCCTCCAATGTCTAATCCATATAAATTATGCAATACAAATGTAAATTCATTTCTTTCATTTTATACTTAGCCTATGTACTGTGTTGGAAAACTGTATCAATATTAAATTACTGGGCTTGCATATGCATGTTTGAGAAATTTATATGGTATATAAAATAAAATAAATTCAACATGTTCAATCTTTTCTTTCTCTCCAGATTGATGATACCATATCATATCTGAGATCCAGTTCACCGATTACAATATCGGCTGCAGTTATTATCATGGCCGTGGCAACAAACACACATGTCCTGATCGTCGCCTTCGTTATGATGTATGTAGCATCAGCGAATACGTTGACGATGTCGGACGATACCGTCGTCAACGTCACCTTCGGCGACTTCCCGTCGCTGTACGCATTCGAGAACGCAGACAACACGGTCAACGTTACAGTCATTGCGTACAAAGGGGACAGCATGGCGACTTTGCAGTTTGATTCGACGAATCCGAGGATATTTCAAATCGTCAACCAGAGTTCGACCTACATCGAGTTATCCCCCAGCGCATATTACCCGCAGAGCTTTTCGTTTGATGTTCGAGGAATCGCGTTGGGAATTGAAGACCTCTTGGTCGTGATGACTAAGGATGGGGCGAGTGCGGTCGTGCATTCGGTGACGATGAAGGTAAACTTGCAACCGAAAGCGATCATGGTCGTGGTTAAGTACGTGATGTTATTCTGTGTCGTCGTCGGTTTCGTCAACATGGGAGGGACAATCGACCTGAAGTTAATCTGGCAAAAGTTGCGTCGGCCCTGGGGCGTCCTCATTGGTATTTTGTGTCAGTTCATGATCATGCCGGCGCTCGCCTTCGGGCTCGCGAAGCTCCTGAAGCTCGACGCGCCCTCTGCGATCGGCCTCGTCCTCGACGGATCTTGCCCCGGTGGTCACCTTAGCAACCTACTCAGCGTCATGCTCGACGTCGATTACGTGTTAAGCCTGACGATGACTTCGTGTTCGAACATCCTAGCGATGGGGATGATGCCGCTTAACCTCTTCATCTACACGCCGCCGTTCACAGAAGGCAACGCGCAGTTGGAAACGCCTTTCATAGAGATCGGCATCCAGCTTGTTCTACTCTTCATCCCACTTTCAATCGGTATGTTCTTCAAATACAAATCACCTCGGATAAACCGCATCTGCGAGAAGCTTCTCAAACCCCTCTCGGGCGTTCTTCTCGTCCTTTTACTCGCCACAAGTCTGCCGTTCCAGCTCTTCATCTTCGCTGCTCCACGTGAGACCTACATTGCTGCTTTCCTCCTCCCACTATGCGGCGGATTATTGGGCTTGTCAATCGCCAAGATGGCTTGTCTCCCTATGAGATCAATGGCCACGATCGCCTTGGAAACCGGCGTACAGAACGCAGTTCTCGCCACCACCATTATCACCTTCTTCTACCCACATCCTGAATCCGAGATCGCATCTCGCGCTCCGTACCTCATCCTCCTCATGACCATCTTCGAAGGCATTCTGCTCGTGGTCGTCTACACATTTGTCAAGACATTCATCTGGAAACCTCGCGAAGATGAGGAAGCATTCGTCGACGACAAAGGAGACGATCCCGATGTCGAAGTGAAGAAGAATGGAACAACGGTGACGGCCATGGTTAATAATGGTTACCTTAAGGAGGTCAATGAAAATGACGTTGATGGCGATGTGAAGAAATCGGAAATTCAGGGTCAGGGATGTCAGACTGACTTTGATGAAATGTGCTTTACAAATCTCGATTTTATAAATATATAGATTACACGAGGAAAGATGATTCAAGAGAGGAAATATGCAAATCATCTTGAATTTAAACTTTAAGTGCGTGGCCACAGAATATTATGCATTTCCTATACATAATATCAAAGTGATACATGTATAAAATCATTTAGTGATTGTATATGACGGATAATTGATGGAATAGGCCTATTGTATATACTACGTGTGTACTATGTTATGATAATGCCATTACTAATCTGAGTCTGTATACCAGACGAAAATTACATCATTAAAATTTTAATTTTCGATTGTGACGTTTTGAATCGAAGGAGGTAAAATGTCCTTCAAATATGCGTCTGCTGAGAACATTAGCACGATAATGGCATTAACATTGTATCAAAATGATATAAGTTAATGCCATTCAGGGTCTCAGCAACGTTTTTTCTCTCAACGTCACAAATAAGATACTTTTATTGAAGACATTCCACAGGTTTCAAAGACAAAAATTTGAAAATTGTGTTAAGAGTATCGAGGAAGTAAAGAGAATATAAACAATTTCAGTTCAAACATGTATCCTTTTTTTAATTTATTTTTATTGTATCAAACTTGCAGTGGTTCTTGCTTTATAAGTGCTATTATTGTTTTCATGATTCTATATTGTGTGTAGGTAAAGTTTTCAGGATTACATCAACTAATTCCTAAAGAGGAATCAGAGACCTGAAAAGGGCCGGTGAGCTCCGCTACTAAAGAGCACTTTGTTCTCGACGTTTCGAGCAATCATGTCTCTGACCGTCTTTTGTTTCTCTTTTAACTGTTGTACGTCTTAGGTTGAATGACTGATTCTGAGATAAACATACCACACACGTAACAATACAAAATCAAATCGGAAATCTCATCGCAGTAAAAGTTCCTTGACAGACATGTTGAAGTTAACCGATAAGGGAGAATAAAATATTTGGATTTTTCTAGTCGAATCTAAGATTATGTTATCTTACAGACAGTAACCTGTTCAAAATGATCAATAATTGTTCATGAGCTAGGACTGTTGATGATGTACGAATTAAATGTGTCATGTTTACTTTAAACCCACTACAGTCTGTTGAAGAAATAGCAATTGCAAGCTGACAACCTCAGACCCTAACTCTGATGTTTTGTATGTGACTATTAAAACAATCAACATTATGTTGGTCGAAAAGTCTAAACATTTCAGACTAATGTCAATGACTTATAGACATAAATTTTTACTTTGTGCGATGTTCCATCGTTTTTGCCAGGAGATTTTTAATTATTTTTTTTTACATTTCCGTTGTTTTTCTGGTTACATGAGATCACATGGCATCTATGTATAGGCCGAGTTTACACTTAAAATACAATCAAGGGGCAGTTAGTTTGTTTGTTTTTTCTTTATTATTCAAATTGTTTTCGTGTTTTCCCCCCTCAAAATTTCAATTTTCATAAGGGCTATAAACATGATATATAACTCCACATATCATTTTTATTTCGAAATTTAAGTGTTTAGTAAATTATCGTCTAGTGAGAGATATGAAATTGGCTAATTATATTAGACTTTAGTCACTGATTTTGAATTGTTATGTTACATTGCACAAGAAAAGTTTGAATTCCTGTGCTTTCCATGAAAAGCTGGTTAAACCCATGACGTTAAGAAGTAAAGTGCACGTGACTTGAACATCTCTCTGAACTTCAAGACATTCCATTAATTCGTCTTTTCTATACACGACCAAAATGTATCTTTTTGTTCGTCTGTGCTTGAATTGAAATCAGAAACACACCTCGATCGTTGTAACGGGACACGTCGTGAATTGATTAAAAATGTATACTCTTTCAAGCAGTGAACCCAATGGAGGATTTTAAAAAAAGTGGTTTAAAGGTAGGCACACTCGGTCGATGCTGCCTTAAAAAAAATCTGGCATATCTTAAAGTACTATATCCCATTTTCAGGTCAAAAAATGAAAAGGTTAGATTCCAATGTCATTTGAAAGACAATACTTATTTAGAACTTCCCTCAAAGCGAGAGGGTTTGAAAATGGCTTTTTATAAGAAAATAACGACCATAAGTTGTCGAATCGACATAAGTGATTGCAATCACCTAAGTAATAGTCTGATTTTCAGACCCTTGTACCGAATGGTCGTACGTTGTGTGCTGCACAAAGATACAATCAGTTCAATTTTGGCCATTACAAGTAGTGTTATTGATGTATCATTTTATGTATATTACCAAAGAAGAAAAAGATGTCAGTCAGTCACTAAATAGCGCCTCACAGGGAAATCTAGAAAGTAAACGGGTTTCCTTGCATAATTTGAAAACTAGGACACTGCTATATAACGTTTGGATTTCACGGATAGGACATACATGACATATTCAAAGTTCCTGCAAAGTTCTACAGAATTTGATGTTGGCCGCAAAAGGGACATAGTATCTTTAAGTACACTCACAAAATTAACTGCCCCCTTTTTTTGTTCATGTGCCCCTTTCAAATTTTAGACCCCAAAAGGCACCTGAAATGTGAAAACTTGTTGTTGTCTTGCTCGTCATATATTTTTTGAAGTAAACATTTACCAAAAATGCGATAACTATAATTTTGCTTGCTTGCTTTACAGAGATTTTTCAAAAATACCCCCCCCCCCCCCATTACAATCCCCCAATCCACCCTTGGTATCACGTTTGATTGTGTTGGAAATAAATGGGCGTCAATGGATGTGTGGTGTTATGTGACTGTCTGACAACACTTGATACAACTTTGGTCTTGGACCGTAAGCCTACACCCCATGCGATCAAAGAGCACCAAAGCATCGAGACATATTTCAGGATTTGCCTCTGATTTGACGAGAAATCGCTAGCGTATGTGAAGGAAGAGCGAGAGGGTATATGTAATTTGCCCCTTCTGACAGGTTTCAAACTAATCCAACACTCGCCAAAGACTTACCTTTTCTTGCTCCTTCCTAACGCAAACCAGGGCCTTCCTGAAGTGGTTTCCTTTCTGAATAATATATGGATCACGGAAACAGCATAGATGTTTTTCCCCTCCCGAGTCGTAGGTCTTGATAAGCCAATGTAAGAAATGGATTTTAAAAGGTAACATGGATGAAAGCTAAAGGGGTGGTGTTGACAATGTGTGTTCTTGTAGACTTTTAATAGGACAGTTTCGTAATGTATTCAACGAGCAACGAGCTATTACATTCACCTGTTACATATCATTGTATTGCAATAGTCAGAATGCAAATTTAATACATTATTATTGCTAGGTATAGGCACTTCACAAAGACTTCGGCCCGAATTCACAAAGGAGGTTTGTCGACAAACCTAGGTTTATGTGCGTCATATGACGCGTTTCAAAGCGTTTCAAATTTGTAAATTCGGGCCTGTATGTATTACATTTGATTACATTACGAAAATGGCCTATTCGTGAAGTTTTACGATTTTAATTAAAATCACCAAAATTTGTAGCTCTGTCTAGCAAAAGTTGCATGCTAATCTGAATCTTTCTACTGTTGTCTTGAGCCTTGAGCACGTGTCTATTTCTCACTAATTACCGGTGCTCCTGCGCCACTTTAATGGGGGAAAGAAAGAATGGGAACATAGTGAGATAAGTACTCGAATATCACGGGGTAAAATTATATTTTTGTTCGTGTTCCCCCCCCCCCCTCGCAGAAAATCTCTGAACCTTATGATATGCTTTTATTTTGTTTCGAGACTTTATACATATCATAATGTAAACTGGGCAACTTCCATTACTTGAATGATGTAGTAAACAAAACAATTTCCATTCTTGCCTTATTTTGTACATGTTTGTTTATATGTTTGTAAATAAAGTGTTCTACTGTTGCAGCCGCACATCTGACCGTGTATACATTCTCTTTCTTGATTTTGTTAACATTGTTTAGATTTGTCTAAACCAGTGGATTCCATTATCAATAATGGAAAATTATTGTCGATGTTCGTTCCCCTCTTTGTCACCTTTCCTTCAAAAAGATAGTTTGAAGTAAACATATTAATTCAACGTAGTTCGGGTGCCTTATGTAAAACCAAATCTTCATTACATTTCTTGTTTTCAGTTATTCTTATCTGAAGGATTTTTAATCATTGGTACAGTGTAATTAATTTATCATGAAGATAGTGACGATGATGAAGGGAATAACAATAATGATGATGATGATGACGGTGATAATGATGATGAAGATGATGGTGAAGATGATGATGATGGTGAAGATGATGATGATAATGATGATGATGATGATGATGATGATGAAAAAGATGATGATGATGATGAGAATAATGATGATGATGAAGAAGATGATGGTGATGAGGATAATGATGATGATAATGATGATGATAATGATGATGAGAACAATGATGATGAAGAAGATGATGATGATAATGATGATGAAGAAGATGACGATGATGATAATGATAATGATAATGATGATGATGATGATGATGATGAAGATGATGATGATGATGATGATGATGAGAACAATGATGATGAAGAAGATGATGATGATAATGATGATGAAGAAGATGATGATGATAAAGATGAAGATGATGATGATGATGATGATGAAGATGAAGATGATGATGATGATGATGATGAAGATGAAGATGATGATGATGATGATAAGGATGAGGAGAAGGAGGAGGAGGAATATAGTGATAGTGATGCGTCATCATGGATCACTGGTCTGAAGTCGAATCCCTGTACCAACGTAATTTCGAGGCATCATTCTACAGTTACTACTCTTCACCCAGGTCTAGTGAACAGATTGGGTCACTGAACCTTTCATAAACTAACAGAGCACTATTGATGATGAATAATCAATGATCCGTCCACTCAGGGAATTGCTTTGTCAATACCATCATCATCATCATCATCATCATCATCATCATCCTCTTCATCTTCTGAAGGTCAACCATATTATCTTTCTTTGTTCCCAATAACAATAGTTATGAGAGTCCATCGTCCCACTCACCGTCCAAGATGACCCACTGCTTCACCCCACTGCTTGTGATAGCGCCCTTCCTGATTGCCCTTTTCAGTGCCCCTGCCCCCACCTCAGCCGTCGACCCCTCCCCGGCATCACCAGATCAACTCGCCCTCATCAACACCACTTTTGGAACGGACGCCATCTATATCTTTGAAGGTTAGTAGATTCGTGAACTATAAATATGATAATTTGCTATAGCGCCAGTTTACTACAATAATTAGGCCTTGAAAAAAAGATATTGTATTTCCCTTTAGTTGCCAAAACATGAGTCGGTCGGAAACCTTTTCATTTTTTTCTTTTTTTAACTCCCTCTTAATTTGGACTGATATTTCTCAGTTTTGAACATTTTTTTTTCTAAAAAACGGTAAAAAAAAAAAAAAACTTTTAAAAAGCCAACCATCGATTTCAAAATGTTTGGGTCGGTCGCAAAGGGCAATACAACTTTTTTTGTTTGTTTAGGCCTTATTTTAAAATAAACTAACCCCGACAGGTCCTCAGTCACACTGTGATCTATAAGCTATTAACTCGTACTGGTAACTCCTTGGTTTTACCTTTTGATTCATGCCTTGCCAACAATTCGTCGTCAATATTATGACACGACGAATCCGTACATTGATATACTGTATATGACCAATTTGATTGGTTCGTACAACCGCCGACGAATTTTCAAAACAGAAAATTATAGTTCGTGATAAGTAAACTGAAAGCGTTCGTCCGATGTCATGGTATAGACTTGACACTGATTAATAGATCAGGGGGTGTTTCACAAAGATTCCAAGTCAAACTTAACTCTAAGTTGGACTTAAAAGTTGTGAAGAGCCATTTGTAGCCTTAAAATAAAATATATTCAAAAGCAAAAATTCGAGTATTTTGGACTTTTCATAAATTCCACAGCAAGAACATGAAATCTCCTTTATAATAGAAAATATGAATGATTTAAATCAACATTTTATGCCTTTTAAAAGAACTTGTACAAATTGTTTTCAAAGATGCTGACGGCTTTCCATAAATGTTAAGTCCAACCTAGAGATAAGTTCAACTTAGGATCTTTGTGAAACACCCCCCAACATAATAGCCTACTGTGAGCCGGAAAGGTGTTGACTTTATGATCAATGAGTTTGGTTAATGTCCTTCTGTTTTTCAACACAGATTCTGTTGGAATTCAATGTATGTTTCCTTACCCTTCACATTAAGAATTTCAGTTTAAGTCTGGAAAAAGATTAGGTTATACTAACTTATGGTCTATGGTTTTTCTACTTTATAGCTTATAAGTCTATCGAGCAAATATATTTGGTTCCTGTTTTGCATCCACAAAATCGGTGCTTTGTGATTTCAATTCCATTATATATTTCAGCGACTAAGGTGAGAATGATAATAACGTAGGCCTATATGATAGTATATTCTTTAGCTTTGCAATATTTTAAAGACACATTTTGATCAACGTGAAAGGGGAAAAAATCTCTATAACAATATGTTTAATTGCTGTTTGTAAGTGTCGGCTTGCATGGTGATGTAGATATACAGTAGGCTTGCGGGTGCACCACGGATAGTCAACCCGTTCGAAACGTCGAGCCATTCCCGCCACTCATCCTCTCCAAGCGCTATAGTTCTCCTTAGAACTATAAGCTAAGAAAGATAACCAACAGTCTTTTTCAAGACTATACCAACAGTCCTTTTCAGGACTAACAAACCCTCAAGAAAGATTACCGAGAGTCCTTTTCAGGACTGCTCAATCCTCCCTCTCTCTCACATGGTGCACCCGCAAGCCTACTGTATAAATATGTTTAATGATATCATTTTTAACAGTGAACAAATGGGCTTCTTAATTTGATTATAAATAATTTCTTCTGTTTGATATTTTCCAAATCGAAGATGAAGAAATCGAAGTCAACTTCACCGTTTTATACTACTACGGTGCGGAGACGGTAACCATCACCTTCGAGAGCGAAAGCGACTTTTACTACGAAATCGTCAACGCTTCCGACGTCGAGTTCGTCCTTACGTCGTCAGACGAGTACCCGAAGACGATGAAATTCAACCTTCGTGGAAGGCACATCTCGATCTCGGAGATGTCGATACTGATGACCGTCGACGAGTACGTCTTCAACATCGGAACTGTGACTGTCAAGGTAATTTTTAACGTCGAAATTGAGAGAGGTTTACTTCTTCGCCTTTTTATTTTTCGTTTTTTTTTTTTTGTCTCTCTTCTAATTTTCTCTTCTATTTCCTTTTCTCTTTCTCCTCCCTCCTCCAACTCCCAACCTTCTCCTTCTACTCCCCAACGCTTATTCTTCATTTTCCTTTTCTTCTCCTTCTTCTTCTTCCGCTCCTCTCCTTCTTTTTTCTCTTCTTTACTCTTCTTTCTCTTCTTATTTTACCTTCTTCTTCTTCTTTTTCTTTTATACTATCATCTTTATCAGCATTACTATTATCATGGTCATTTTTTTTCACTATTTTTCATAATTATATCGTTACTACTACTACTACTACTACTATACTACTACTATACTACTACTACTACTACTACTACTACTACTATACTACTACTACTACTACTACTACTACTACTACTACTACTACTATACTACTACTACTACTACTACTACTACAACAACTACTACTACTACTACTACTACCACCACTACTACTACTACTACTACTACTACTACTACTACTACTACTACTACTACTAATGCTGCTGCTACTACTACTACTACTACTACTACTATTACTGCTACTACTACCACTACTAGTACTACTAGTACTGCTACTATTACTACTTCTATTATCATCACCAACAACATTTATTATCATCATAGTAGGCCCACTTCTGTCATTACTGTCGCTTGGGGAGGACAGGGGGCAAGTGCCCCTCAACAATAATAGATAATTTTTCAGAAATTGTTTGACAGCACGTTAAACAATTCTGTCGAGCATATACTACTCCCTCCCTCTCTCTCTCTCTCTCTCTCTCTCTCTCTCTCTCTCTCTCTCTCTCTCTCTCTCTCTCTCCCCTCTGTCTGTCTGTCTGTCTGTCTGTCCGTCTCAATCATTAATATAATTTCCACTAGCCGTTCGGTATAATACATCGTAGTCGTCAAGTTCATGAACTGCTAATGACTTTTCTGCAATTTAAGTGGAAAGATAAAAATCTGAAAACGTCAAAAGTATAAACGACAAACATTCCTGAGAATGAAAGATGTCCAGGTACGCGGAGAGGATCATATCACAACGTCGGAACAATATCAAACTGCCATTTATTCTTCCACCATCTTCTGTTAATTGTGAGCTTACTGTCATCTTTAAACGTCTGCTCATTTCTGTCGCTTACCCCCCCCCCCCCTAATATGTAATTGTCTATCAGTCTATTTTGTTTGTTATAGCGCTTAGAGACTTCGATGGTAAGCGCTTTATAAGTAACGTTTTTATTATCATTATTATTAATGAAAGAGAAGCTGGCTATGATATCAGATCGAGGATCTCCTCTTCACTGTATCGACCAATTCTATACCCAGCATATACAAACATTTAAGCACATGACAGCATTCTTGGCCTAGCAAAGTTTGGGGAAATTGAAGGACAGTTTAAAGGGATTGGGTAACTTCGTCTCAGATTCTGAAACAAAATCCTGGATTTAGCTCATGCTGCAATGATAATTATAAACCTTTAGGTCAGCCAGGAACCCCATGACTTTACAAGCCGATCGCTTGTCTGATTATCAAGATATTTATGATTGGAAATCGAAATCAAATTTTGCGTTTTCCTATAACGGTTTTCATAGCATTACAGTCTATTGGAGACAACGAGTATGGTAAAACCGGTCACTCAAAGGTTTTTACTTTTTTGAGGCACTTCATGATAATTTTGAAGCGCGATTTTTTGTTTAGGGCTTCAATATTACACCATATCACAGACGCTGATGACACGTAGCTCATGCATCTCATATGCCTTTAATGGTATGAGAACAAGAGGATGTCCAAGATTAAGGTTTATTGATAGCTTTGTATTAGCAATAGGCGCTAAGAAGAAGGAGAAGAAGAAGAAGAAGAAGAAGGATGAGAAAAAAAAGAAGAAGAAGAAGAAGAAGAAGAAGAAGAAGAAGAAGAAGAAGAAGAAAAAGAAGAAGAAAGAAAGGTTCGAGGCATCCATCCCAAGTTTTGCTTTTTTCTGATCTTTCGGGGCCGATGCTTATCATTATTTAAAATGATATCCATACCGCTGCATCGGCACAACCCTGTCACGGTTAATTCAGATTGATGTGCGACTTATCTCTGAGGAACCAAAAGATATCGTATTTGTCCCCTCCTGGTCAGACTCTATGACATAATTGGTGACCTGTTGCATGTCTAATCTTGTATAACCTGCTTCGAGACATGAGGAGTCTATAACAAACAGTGGCATAGCTTTAGGCAGGGGCGTACGTGGTGGGGACTCAGGGGCGTAGACAACGGGGGGGATGAGGGGGATGCATCCCCCCCACCTCACAAGGTGGGGGGGATGGCATGTACAATCATCCCCCCCAGGTTTTGGGGAATGATATTTGCTTACTTAATAAGTCATAATGATGATAATAATAGTAATAATAATAATGATAACAATTATAATATTAATAATAATAATAATTATGATGATGATAATAATATTCCTATTCATTATTGTAATTGCGTTTATTGTTATTAGCCGCATTCACAAGGTGAAAGCCAATTCAGACGGTAAAACGGTACAAGTGACCTCGTAAATTCACTTGTGAAAAGGGCGAAGCGCTCATACTTTGTAGATCTTATTGAAGACTGTCGGAATGATTCCAGAAAGCTCTTCTCAGTAGCAAACCGACTTCTGAATCGTCGACAGTCATCACCACTTCCAGCCCACACGGACAGCCAGCAAATGGCCTCTACATTCACCCACTTCTTCCAGACGAAAGTCAAGACCATCTGCGACAGTTTATCACCTGACGAAACACCACACCATCCCCTTACTTCCTCTTCCTTTGAAGTAATACAACCTACTACCCCTAAGGAGATTATGTCACTCTTACGTAAACTACCCCCCAAATCATGTCAGTTAGACCCTGTTCCCACTAAATTATTAATGGACTGTTCCTCCACATTCGCTCCCATCCTTTCTTACTTGATTAACTTGAGTTTAGAGCTGGCACATGTTCCTTCCTCATTGAAAATAGCTCATGTTACTCCGTTGTTGAAGAAACCTTCTCTGGACCGAAATTCCCTCCAAAATTATCGACCAGTTTCAAACCTACCTTTTTTGTTCAAAATTCTTGAAAGGGTTGTGTTTTCTCGTCTTTCGGATTATTTTCTGGACAATGATTTGTTCGACCCTTTCCAGTCAGGTTACAGAACCCATCATAGTGTGGAAACACTGCTTGTGAATGTTTCCAACTATATCCTGCAAGGGATGGATAGGGGTAACTCAACTGCTCTCCTGCTGCTAGACTTGTCCTCCGCCTTCGACACCGTTAATCACACTATCCTTTTGAACACACTTAGTTCACTTGATGTCAAGGGTGAGGCATACAAATGGTTCGAGTCTTATCTGTCATACCACTCTCAGATCGTTTGTATTAATGGTTGCAAATCAGTTGCTTTGCCTCTCTCTTGTGGAGTACCACAGGGTTCTGTGGGCGGGCCTACTCTCTTCTCAATTTATTTAATTGGATTGCGACAAGTTTTGTTACAACATGGCATAGATTATCATATTTATGCAGACGATATTCAACTTATGATTTCCTTCAATTCAGATCAAACCGCTGCAGAACGAGCCGTTCATCGCCTTGAATCTTGCATGGCTGATGCTCATGATTGGATGCTCGCACGTTCCTTGAAATTAAATTTTGACAAATGCAAATTCCTTATTTTTGGTTCCAAAGTACAGCTTAGTAAAGTTAATATCAATTGCATTTCATTTTCTGGCCACATACTTCACTTGTCACAAACGTGTCGCAATCTCGGTGTTATGTTTGACTCACATATGACAATGTCTGACCAAGTTTCTAATATTTGCAGATCAGTAAGGTACCAATTGCGTAATATCGGTTTTATTCGTAAATATTTGTCCAAGTCTGCCACCGAAAAATTAGTACATGCTCTGATTTCCTCCCGTCTTGATTTTGGCAATGCCCTCCTAATCAATCTACCCCAGAATCTACTGTTCAAACTCCAGAAGCTTCAAAACGCTGCAGCTCGTATTGTTTCTCTGACCACCAAGCGTACCCACATTTCCCCAGTTTTGCAGTCGCTACACTGGCTCCCAGTAAAAGATCGCATTGTTTTCAAAATTTTGTTGCTAACCTTCCATTGCGTTCACGGCTCTGCTCCTCAATACCTTATCTCTCTAATCCAAAACTACACTCCTGCAAGACCTCTACGCTCATCCACTTCCAATTTTCTCGTGACCCCCAAAATTACCAAAACGTGGGGGGAAAGATCATTTGCATACTCTAGTCCTAAATTATGGAATGGCCTTCTTGAAGACATCAAAAAATGTTTATCTTCTGATTCTTTCAAAACTCATCTCAAAAAATTCCTTTTCAAGTCTTGATCGTTTTTCCTGTTCACACGCGCCTTGAGCACTCCACAGAGTGGATTTGGCGCGATATAAGTTACATTATTATTATTATTATTATTAAAAAAAAGAAAATCTTACAAGTATTTTGTGGTTATCTTGTGGCTTGGAAACCACAATATAACCACAAGATTAAACAGGCGCGGATCTACGGGGGGGGGGGGGGGGGGTTTAGGGGGTTTAAACCCCCCCCCCCCCCCCTTGGGCGGCCCAAAAAACAAATCAAAAAAAAGGGGAAAAAAAGAAGAAAAAAAAGAAAAAAAGAAAGAAAAAAGAACGCACGCTGGAGAGAAACCCTTTCAAGTGCAAATATTGTGAGAAGATATTCAACTCATCTGGTAACTTAACCAAACACATGATAACTCTGGATATAACTGTGTATTTAACTGTTACTTGATTTAAAAAGACGTTATCATGCACTGCTTTTTATGGTCTCCATTGTGTTAATAGATGCCAGGAAAACATCACTTACGGGGTTCCAATAAACACCAAAAAAAAAAATCGGCTCGCCGCTTCGCGGCTCGTGGACGATGCTCCGCATCGTCATTATTGGTCAACCCCCCCTTAGCAAAAAGCTAGATCCGCCCCTGAGTCATCCCCCCCAGGTGTACGAACCTGTCTACGCCACTGGGTGGGGTACCAGGGGCTAGTGCCCCCTAATAGAATTCGGAACTTAGATAAATGGAAGGGAGAGAAATAGAGGGAGAGAGAGAGAGAGAGGGAGAGAGAGAGAGAAAGAGAGAGAGGGGAGAGGGAGAGAGAAGGAGAGAGAGAGAGATACAGAGAGAGAGAGGGGGAGAGAGAGAGAAAGAACGGTGCATCCCCTTCAATACACTCCACTCATTCATCGATCTTGTTTTCTTGCATTTCATCGAAAGTCTGCTGCCCCCATCCTTGATATCAGTGCCCATTAATGGCCGAATCCACGCTACCCCACTGATAACAAAACGAGGATTCCAGCAATACAGCATCTTTATTTGTTCGTCGCAACAAATTCAGTCTAAATTGAGCATTCTTGATAAAATGGAGATTTGTCAAGGAAAAGTAAAAACTGACTTGTCATTTTGAAAGGTATGACATGTCACAACCGTGAGCGTTTCAAACCGAACCCACGTTTATATTATTCTTGTAAATTCACTGTCAGGATGAACAGTTAACTACCTGAACATGAAAGTAAGTTAGTTTTCAAATGTATACCTTTAGTACATCCATATTCATGGGCTGTAGCAGAAAAAATGATGTCCAGTTTTACAGGGCCATCGCGAAACCATTTCGCATAGGGTGGTGCGATATTTATTGAATTTCCAGCAACAAAAGGAGATAGAAAGGGTCCTAAACATTCACGTTTTGTGACAGTTGAAAAAAAATGTCCAATAATAAAAATAGAGGCCCTATTAGATATTCACGCTTTCTGACAAAGGCTGATTTCTTCCAATTTGACGTCATGAATTTCCAATATTATAGAGATGAAGGGCTGACGAGATGCACTTACTACATCTTGTTCTCTTGCAGGTCTTAATAAAAGGTATGCAATCCTCAGAGGTTTTCTGACCCCCCCCCCCCGCCCCCCCCCCCCCCCTACGACGGAAAAGGGGAAAAAGAAAGAAAAGGAGCAAAAGGGTTTCAAACCATTTAGGTGCCTTTCAGGTATTTTCTTTTTTAAACAGTGCACACTAATTCTTTTGTGAATGGAGTGTTTGTATGTCACATTGGTTTGAACCCCCCCACCCCCCGAATCTTCCACTAAGCTGCCTGACAAGTAAATGAACTCACATGAACTTTATTTTCATTGTCGCAGACGAGTTTGATCCCTAACCCCATCTACACCATCGTCAACTACCTCATGCTAGCCGTCATCATCGTCAGTTTCGTCACCATGGGGACCACCATCGACCTCAAACTCATCTGGGAGCGACTTCGTCGACCATGGGCGGTGCTGATCGGGATGCTCTGTCAGTTCTTCATCATGCCCGCGCTCGCCTTCGGGCTCGCAAAGGCGCTCAGTCTAGACAATGCCTCGGCCATCGGCTTGGTACTCGATGGGTCGTGCCCTGGTGAGTATTTCAGTGTTTATTTTCTTCCACGTCCCCTTTGCACGCGAGATGTCATTAACCTGATGTAGCTAGGACTACCTACAAGTTTGAAGGGATCTTGAAGGGATTTTGTGTTGAAGATGTTCATGTACATGTAGGCCTACATGTAGTGCTTGGTTTTTTAATAAAATTGTTTCTCCCTTCTTTTACTCATTTTTTAAATATTGTTTTATCTTTTCCCCCTTTTCGATGGAGTACATGCCCCCCCCCCCCCAACCGACGCTTTGGCACCGCATGCTATATGTTGGCATCCCCCCCTTTTTTTTTCTTTCCCCCATTTTGTAGTTCCTTTTGAAGTTACGGATTAGTTAATTTAATTACTCATTATGTGGTGGTGGTGGTGGTGGTTATTTTACCTGACTGCTAAGAAAGCATAAATGCTTGTAAGTAAGCAACCAGACGGCCGACGGCTTTAGGTCCTCTCCGAGGGACCTGGTAATGAGGATTAATGCCTTACCAAAGGGCACTAGCGCATCGACTTGGTTTCGAACCCGGGTCACCGGATCACGAGACCACTGCTCTACCGACTGAGCTATCGCGCCTCCCTACTTATTCATAAGTAGCATTCGAGGTGTTCACACTTGTACAAGCATTGCTTTTTAGTGGACCCCTCTGTTTCCAACAAGTATTTCTTACATTTGTTTTAAATGCTTATAATTGATTTGTAATGTTTTGTTGAAATTGAAATTGAAAATTGAATGAATCTCTGTCGGTGAAATACCACACTTGACGACAAACATATTTTAATGGGCTCTATATATAAACGGACATTGTGGTTTATAAGATTTACAGTTTTCACTCTCTAAGATGAGTCATTTATACCCCACTCACACCGACGGCAGGTCGACAAGAGACCGAACAAAAACATACATTACCACGAATTACCGAGGATTGGTCGGTTTGGGAGTGTGACCGGTTCAAAGTTTTGGGTTTCTTATAATTACCCGGTGCAGAGGTGTTGTTTCCATTCTACTTCCTCATTCTATACAAGGATTGATGTATATAAAAAGAAACAATTCTTGTAATGACTTTCACATACTTAGATTTATTGATATTACAATCTTTTCTCGTTCTTGATGACAAAAGAATTGAAACAAAGATTAGTATACAGGAGACATTATGTATATCGCTAGCGTAGCCTATATAAATGGGTTTGCCTCAGCACTTCGTATTATTTGAATGCTCGGCTATAAACCCCAATTTTATTTATTTGTTCATGATTTCTTTCAGCAGGATGGTTTCATTCAGTTCCACTGGTAGCCAGTGGACCTACTTTTTCAAGAAAGCCCTGCATATTACAATAACAGTACAAAAACTTAAATACAGTCATACAAACATTATTCATGTAAAATATCAACATAAACACATATCTTTTGAAAATAGCACTATGTGAATCATACAATATCTATTATCAATTATTTTTAAATAAACAAAGTATGTCACTAACAAAAACCACGCCTTAAACAAAAACAAAACAAAATAAATAAATAGAAATACTGAAAATAATTACAGAAGGAATAAAGTAGAGTAAACTTATTGCGCTTGTGAAAGTTAACGATATAATTTTACAAACACATTAATTGGTGTTTTTTTTAAACGCAAGTGGTTAAGGTACATAGATAAATGCGGCAAAAGGTTACAGAGTCACAGTAAATGCATGAAAAGACGGCATTGCTCTTTGAACAAATGTAATGATGTTCATGAACAGAAAGTGGGAGTTTGTTATACAACGGCGGACCAGTATAGGCAAAGCTACGTTTCCTATATCCAGTAAGTGCCTGTGAGACAAACAATATTCGTTCATTCAAACAGCTTTTTACTTATTACTATAGTATATAAACGAAAATGATACCACTGGTCACCAACTTTTCCTTTACAAAGTAAAAACAACAAGCATCATTTACAACAATAACTAATACTTTACTAGTGGGTTGTTCGTAAACTTCAGAAGAGACTTGTGTTTAATAACAAGACCTGTGTGCAGTCGGAGAGAGAGAACAATTTATATACACCCGTTTTGAAAGGGTATTAAAGATAAACTTGAGTTCTGGTAAAACAAAGAAAATGATTTCTCACAGAATCAAATGAAACTTACACTGAATGTTCAAGATGTTCAAAATAAAGGCCTGAGCAATAATATCGCGATTCTTCATAGACTTGTTGTAAAGTCTGAAAGCCAAGGAAGGTTAAAAAAAAAAAATCATCGGCGTCGCTCCGCTGTTGAAGATAACGACCTTAATTTTGAAAACAATTAATGTCATACACATGTATTATCAAAAGATGATTTGCCCACTTTTCACATGTTAAGTGTATTTCATCACAAGTATTTAAATGATGGCGAGGGGGCAATTTGCCCCTTCTGGCGAATTTCCGACTCCCTCACCACCCCCACCCCCTCCCCCATTTTTGGTCAAAGTACAACCACTTTTTATGTTCATGTAGTTAGCAAGTTTGGAAATTACCATATTTAAGTCAAGAATGGAAACACACAAAATACAGCCCATTCTTAAAAGGGCTACTTTAAGAAGAACAAAATAGGCGAGCACACCCCCCCCCCCCCCCCAACACAAATCCAATTTCCTCAACAATCAGTTTCCTAGCTGAAAGTAAACGGGGGTAAGGAAAAAGGTTTGCCGATTTCATCTTCAGAATACATGTTGTTAAATAATACTTCACAGCCGTTGAGTACAGACTGAGACATTTTGGAGAAGATGAATTCAGAGGATTCGGGTATGAAACATTAGCAGGATGCCTCTTCAATTTCTATTTGGTGAAATGTCCGCATTCGAACCTGATGCTGTCTCCCCATCAAGCATCCTCATTTGGCTATCTCTGGTCTCCATGCCAGCAAAGATGGGCCGAAGACTACGGACAGATCCACAAAGCTCCATGAGCGCTTTCCTGAAGTTCGGATTCCTCGCGGCATAGATCACCGGGTTGACGCAGGAGTTGACGAAGGCGAGGACGACAAAGGACCGGTAGAAAGGGCTATATAGATTGCTGGCCTCGACGAGCCCGACGTTGATTGCGAAGTAGAATACCTGATCGGGTGTCCATGAGATGATGAAGACGATGATGACCTCCAGGAGCATTCGTGTGATCTTCCGCCGGGCTTGGAGGATAAAATTATTGGTTTCGCTACTGGCGTTGGTGTGCGAGCTTCGGCGAAGAGCCCTGACAGTGAACACGTGGGCGACCAGCATGGTGACGACGGGGAAGAGGAACTCGAATAAGAAGACGATGATCCCCGTGAGTTTGCCGTGCCAAACCGATGTATAACCGAACACGCAGGAGCCGTCTTCGAAATAGACGACGAATATGATCACAAAGTTGAGTAGAAAGGACACGAGCCAGATACCAGCGACGATCACCAACGTCCTCTCCGGTGAGAAGATGCGTTTGAACTGGAACGGTCGAACGACCGCTACAAGCCTCTCAATCGAGATGGTGGTCAGCGTAAAGATGGACGCTGAGATGGTGACCCACATGAAGAACGAGGAGTGGATGATTCGACAGTAGAGCTGCGCGGATGTGGTATCTGGCAGCGTCTCCACCTGCCTGTGCGGTATGATGAACACCGAGGTCAGAAAATCGGCCAGAGCTAGCCCAGCGATCAGGGTATCGGTCGAGCAACGCGACCGCCTGACCCGGAAGAGAACCACCATCACTAGGAAGTTTCCGACGATGCCAGCCAGGGCCAGAAGCAGTTGGAGGACCTCCCACCATTCCCAGGCCAACGGAGCCCAAGTCCAGGATAAAGTGGCATTCGTCTCATTAGCGGTCCCCGTTTCATTCTGGGTCACGTAGAACATTGTGCCAAGAGCATGAACGTACTTACACTATCTGTAGTTCTTTAATCACTTTCACCAAAACATTATATTCTAAAAGATAGAAGTGGCATTCCTCTCCTCCATCCAGTATTCACTCCGCTCTCCGGGTAACACAAAATGTTCTCTAAACGTTTTAAGGCCCTCGAATAACCGACACTAATGAACGTTCTATAAGCGTTTCAACGTCCTCGAGACGTTTCACGAACTTCTTGAAATAGTTGTGTGTTTGATGCGTCTTGCTTTCAAATCACAATGGGAAGCGCTCTTTGGATGTAGATGAGTATAGACGGGATAAAGGTGTCATCGAATGTTGCAAATACTGACGCGCTAAGAACTAATAACTCTTGAGGCCCCTTGATCAAGTTACACCACTCATGCCTAGCTGGAGTCGAAAGTAGTTATTAAATCAGTTTTGTTAATTATGCCTGCATAGTTTATTGTCACTTAATGAAGTACTTAAGGAGTCGCATAGTTATAAATCACCTCCCTGGTTAAATGTAAAGGACTAAAGTATTGGCATTGTACTGAGATTTTAAAAAAATTGTGTTAAGTACTTGACGGTACCAGTTACATTTTAGATTTTCATTTAGAATTGGAGTTACGGTGTATGTTAGTTTAGTAGTTTAAACACGTTTCATATTTTGTCTAGTTCATATCGTGATATTTGATTTTTACTTGTATTTGAAGCAAAATTATGAACAAAATGACAACTGTAGGCCCATGTATGATATTTTTGTTTGTCGGTTGTTGTTTTAGCAAGACCTAGTTCAGCACAGGCCTTGCAAATCTCACCCGAAGAAAAGATTCTCGTTGGAAAACAGAAAAGAAGAAAAAATTGATAATTTCAAAATCCGCAGCAGATCTTCAAATCCAATACTTATAGTCTAAAAGATTACGATGCCCTCAATCCTACACATAAACATTTTGTATAATTACGTTTGACTCCTTGGTTTTACCAATTCCTTAGTAAATGCCTACTTCCATTATTTCCCATGCTCCAACGCTTTCATAATTTATCTGAAGCAATAACTTTCTTCACTCAGTTTCTTATTATTACTAATTGTGTGTCTCTTAATAACGGAATGGTGATGTAATATCACGCATAACACCATTTGTTGTCGTTATGAAATACAATAGAAGTTGGGTGAAGTTTCGTTGTATACTTATAGAGGAAGGAAATTAGTACTTTCTAATAGCTTTCAACCATGTGTATCCTGATATTAAAGGGCAAGTCCGGCCGATTTGAAAGGTGAATTGAATGAATAAAGAAAAATTAAACACACAAAAGCATTGAAACTTCCATCATAATCGAATGAAAAATAAGAAAGTAATTTCATGAAACAGTGAAATGTATCGAATGCATGGGCGTATAATTATGCACATTAGTGCGTTGATGATGTCATCCCCTCACTTTGCTCTATCCGTTTTGTGCATAGATTTACAGAAATATCACTTTTTCGCTTTGGGACTGTAAACTGGCTTGGATCCTCATGGAATATGTGCAAAACATTTAAAGGGAAACAAAATCATGCAGGTGTGTTAAAAAAAAAATTGAAATAGTATTAACACAATGAATGGGAAATACGGGGATGATATAGCATCATTTTGTTGCATACTGCCTATGTGACCTCGTCTTATAAAGTGTTGCGAAGTTGATCCGAATTAATCGCAAGTCCTCCAAACAATGGCAAGTTTGCATTCTCCTATCTCGAATGTACATAATAGTTGCGATTGGTAAGAAACATGATTATCCCTTACATTTGCTGCGACGATTGAAATTAGTACCTTTAATATTTGAACACTTCAAGTTCTTGAACAATATGCCGGACCTTCACGAGCACGTGACTTCAATATTAAAGCAACACACTTCGACGTGTAAACTAAATTCATAACATGAGTGTCAGCAGAGGCGTAGATACAAGGGGCATGCGGGGGGGGGGCAAGTGCCCCCTCCCCATTGATTGGTGAAAAAGATTAAAAAGAAGGGAATAGCGAGAAAGGGAAAGGGAGAAGGGTACGAGACAAGAAGACACTTGGACTACCTCCTGCACCCCTAACCATAGCCATGTAAATTCGCATTTAATGTTTCCATGTAAGACCGGTACGCCCCCCCCCCCAAAAAAAAAGGGCGTCGTTTGTTATCTTTCGTCGTATTTATGTGAAACGGAGGAAATCATCTCATGTCGCTATATATAGGTCAAGCTGGAGAGCACTTTAAGTGGAACGATCCTTTGCAAAGTAGAGGAGGATATACCCACTTCAACTCAACATTGACTATTGAATTTCATTTCCTCGAACATTTACTTTTTTTTAGTGTAGTACTGTATTTATAACAGCAATGACCTCTTTCGATCATTATTCAGTGGCCTAATACGTCACCCATTGTCATGTGCGAACACGACATGATACGTCACATTACCAGAAAATGATTTCTATATAAGCAATACAATGGGTAAATCGTCACTGAGATGGGTTTTTGTTTAATTCATTTATTTATTTATTTATTGAAACATATTGATACAGGATAAAAACGTGATCAGCAAAGCTGTTTTTCATCATGGTAAAACAATGTAAAACAAAAATTGCAATAGTATATTGAAAATACAATCAAAAATAGATTCACTAAAAAAAATTACCCGTAATATAATTTCGATGATAAATTATTATTTTTCCAGTCTCTACGATTGTGTTCCCGATATGGGCATTTCGAGTAAAATGGCGATCTAGCTTTAAGCCGGGGTAAGGGGTATAGTTATTTTGTAATTTCCATGTTTACCTTAAAGGGATCGTTTAACAATGTTAAATCTGAGATGCACGGCCCTACGTGCTATCAGTGTATGTGATATGATGTTATATTAAAGCCCTAAAAAAGGGTTTCAAAATGATCATAAGAAGTGCCTCAAAAAAGTAAAACACTCTGAGTGACCGGATTTACCATACTCGTTTTCTCCATTAGACTGTAGGGTTATGAAAACCGTTTGGCAAACGCAAAATTTGATTTCGATTTTCAATCATAAATATCTTGATAATCAGACAGGTGATCGGCTTGTAAAAGTCATGTGGTTCCTGACTGACCTAAATGTCTATAATGATCATTGCAGCACGAGCTAAATCAAGGATTTTGTTTAAGGATCTAAGACAAAGTTACCGGATGCCTTTAATCCAAATCCATCTCTCCGATCCTCATTCTCCAGGTGGGTACCTAAGCAACTCCCTCAGCGTCATCCTCGATGCCGACTACGTGCTCAGCCTGACGATGACGTTCTGTTCCAACATCCTTGCGATGGGGATGATGCCGCTAAACCTCTTCATCTATACGACGAGGTTGACCGACGACAACGAGTCGCTGAGCACGCCGTTCGGCGAGATCGCCATCCAGCTCGTCCTCCTCATCATACCCATCGGGATCGGGATGCTCATTCGGTTAGTGGACGATGATGACAATAATATGATTTTGATGATGTTGATGGTGGTGGGGACGGTACACAAGAGACGACGAAATTACTCATTTCTGTCAACAAAAATAGAAATAGAAAGGAGAAAATGTCGTATTTTGGCCATGAATTTTCCCACGTACATGGTGTTACTTGCCGTTACCTGTCTTTTATTCTTAATTGAATGTATTCACCTCTTTCATAAAGACATGCGAAGTCAAAAAATACAATGAAACATTTCTTACAAATATGGATAACACCATAAAAAAGAAAATACATTAAAGGAATTTACGAAGTGATTAGATCATCAAAAAGTTACATAAACTAATAGGTGAATGACCATACACAAAATGCAAAAACTAAAAACACAAAAAGGAGAAAAGGAAATAATACAATGGAAATTACACACATAAAATGGTGCGGTTCAACTGAAACAAAACATAATACGTTAGTTAACCGATTTTATTTAAGATGTGTATGATAATGGCAAATAATCAAAATTTCAAGTGGATCGTGTTTACATACATGTATTCGAGATAGCCCGAATGAGAGGTTTGATGATAAAAATACTAATACTTCACATACAATGTATATTCCTTTAGAAAGCTGTCTGATGCTTCAAAGCAGAAATAGTTGAGGGAACAGGATTATTTGCATTTAGATGTTGCAATTGTAGGACCTTCGTAAGACAGTTTAAAGGCCTCGTAATCCCAAGTAAATTATTTAAAACTATCGGATGACGAACCACACGTTCTTTCTGACCATCTCAATCCCCCTTTCACAGGTACAAGTGGCCTAAACTCCAGGATAAAGCCATGAAGTTACTCAAACCTATATCAACCATAGTCCTGGCCATCACGCTCGCCACAAGTCTGCCGTTCCAGCTCTACATCTTCGACGCTCCCTGGAACGTCTATCTGGCGGCGTTCCTGCTACCGTTGTGCGGTGCTCTGTGCGGCAGCCTAATCGCCAAGATCACCTGCATCAAACCGAATGCGGCTATCGTCACAATCTCCTTGGAAACAGGTAGAGTGTCAAGATGTAACTTTTGAAATGGAAAGAAAATGGAAAATGTGAAGGAAAAGCATTGAAGGAAACAACGGAAAAGAAGAGGGGAAAGAAAAGAGTGACGAAACAGGAGCGTTTGTGTCTTTAAAGAGCGACAGGGTGGTTGCTATACTCAAGAGGTTTGCCGATCCGAATTAGATAAGCATTCCTTATCCAGAAGGTTTCAAATGCAGAACTCAATGGCCCGAATTCAGATAGGAATTTTGTGGACAAACCTCCTTTGTGAAATATCATTCAGACCGAGGTCTGAACCCAAATCTGAAACGCGCCATAATTATGACGCACATAAACCTAGGTTTGATGACAAACCTCTTTTGTGAAATGTAATTCACACCAAGGTCTGAACCCAAGTCTGAAACGCGTCATATGACGCACATAAACCTAGGTTTGTCTACAACAAACCTCCTTTGTGAATTCAGGCCGAATGGTTCTTTTTTAATAAGGTCTGTCTGTTATTCTGAAAAACGTGTTTACTAATTACTTTCCGGTAAATGACTTCGATTCTACGTTTCCTTGGAGTAATATAGGTTACAGAATACATGTATATGGAAAATTCGAATCAGGTGGTATATAATGCTCGAAATTCTGAAGATTCATACTTATGGAATTTAGGGAATACTCGCATGATCTGAAGAAAATAAATAAGATTCGTGAATGCGATGCGTCACTCCAAATTTTCATAATCCTAAAGATTAATTTCTCAATTCCTTATGGGGCAAAAAACTATGGGGAACAAACCTTAGGTACATGATCATGCATGTTGCAACAAACGTGTGCTCTCCGGGTCTCCCTATAGCTATAATGAAAACTACCTTCCCATTATAAAATGGAATCAGTGTTTTCTGTCCGCCAAGCTACTATTAATTTGGTTGTGGTTATTCTACCTGACTGCTAAGAAAGCATACATGCTTGTAAGTAAGCAGCCAGACGGCCGACGGCTTTAGGTCCTCTCCGAGGGACCTGGTAATGAGGATTAATGCCTTTGGAATCGGAGGGGTGTCATTTTTTTCCCTATCATTTTCCAATAGGCCTATTCGTTGGGTTTCACTTTCTTTTTTCGCTCGATTCTCCAAATTGAACAATTTCACTTGCATTCATCTTTCATTATTACTCTTTTCTCAGGTGTCCAGAATGCCTTGATGGCGAACAGCATCATCGCTCTCTTCTACCCTCACCCGGAGGCGGAGCTCGCCGCTCGCGTGCCGTTCCTCATCTTCCTCATGACCCTCTTCGAAGGCATCCTTATCGCCGCCATCTACCTCCCTTACAAGCGCTTCTGCAAGAAGCCCGAAGACGGCGCGGACGATGAGGAGAAGAAGATCAAAGACGAGAAGATGAAGGAGGTGTATACTCCGGAAGAGATGAAGGAGATGAAGGAGAGGAAGGGCGACGGCGGCACGGCCGAGGGAGCGTACGCGAACCCGGCCTTCGAGAAGAATTGACACTGCGCTTCCTGTATTTGGTATAAATCTGCGCGCATTATTTCCTTCATTTCCTTTGATATTAATGGATGCGGCGATCTCCCATTTGATTTCCATAATTTCCTCTCGTCAGACATAAATCATTAAAAGGACTTGGAAACATTGTTCGGACGAGAGAAAATGGTGCTAAGGTAGTGACTTCAATGCTAGATGTACAATTAAAGACACTCTGAAAGTTTGAGTGAAAACGGACCATTATTTATGACATAAATTGGGAAAAACTTGTCTGATCGATTCCTTAATTCTTCCAACTGTTTTATTACAATTTAATTACATTTTGGGTGAATGTAAATCGTCACAAAGCGATGAATTGGCTCTATTTACCATTCCAGACATTAAAGTGTTGACAGTTTTTAAAAGCACGTCTTATGTTTTTTTTTAATGGAAAAACGGTTGGAAAAATTCCAAAATAGTTGGGAGAATTTACTGTTAATCACTGTTAGAGAGTGTTGCAAAGTGACATCTTCACAGAAAACCATAGATATCTTTGTGGTCTGAGAATTTTTTTCACGATTTTTTGCATGTTAGAGGGTTAGTACAGTAGACGGAATATATAAGTAACATTTCATACACAAATTATGCAAGTTTTTCATCAACTTTCAACAGTGTTACCGAGTCACTTTAAAAACAAGATCGCAACGGCTTTCAAGAAATCGACTCGATGTCCATTTCAATACCCTAATGTTTTGCTTTTAGATATCATGTTCGGAGTAGGTAATAGGGGAAATTTCACTAGCTGTACACTTTACAATTCGTATTCTTAAATTTCAATAAGTGACGCACAAGGCTATTGAAATTGAGTTCCATTTTTATCTAAATCTATCGATGTAGTGATCTTCCATTTGACTACCACTATTTCCTTTTGAAAATTATTATGCTTTCAGCCCGCCCCGTCCCCCACTCAGTGTTATTAATATTCAAAATTATCTTGTCCCATATGCTACGCAACTTAATACCTTATAAATCTAGGTAGGTAGAGAGGGAGAGAGAGAGGGAGGAGGCAGTGGAGAGCATTTGGTGAGGATGGGAGAAGTAAGAAATAAGTTTGAAGATATTTATATCCATGAATGCTTGAGATTCTTGTTATGTGTATATTTAGTTTGAGGTGTATAGAATGAAAGAAGAATAAAGAGAAAGTAGTTTGTGGTATTTCGATCTAAGTGTATTTAGCAGGTAAGACTTCGACAAACCCTTGCAAATCAATGTATATGTTGATTCTTTTATAAGGTCTCTGCAATCATGTGTTATACCGTGTGAGTCAAAAAAAAGTTTACACCTAGAAAATTGCTAATTATTAAAAATATCATCTATGAACAGGTAATCATTATACATCTTATGAAAGAGTGTTTTATCCCAAATCATTTGGTATCATTTTTGTGTGGTATGTGTTCACGCTTGGATGAACATGAGGCATTGTTTGCTAGAGTGCAAAAATTGACTTACGCCAAAGTGATGCCAACGTGTATATTGGGATTAGCGGAGTGAGAGAATGAATTGAATGTATCAAATGAAATGCATTGGATATGCTTTTTGCAGAAGCAAATTCACACACACACACACACGCACAAATGTACGTTGATATCTGATATTCGATATTTGATATGTGTGGCATGATTAATTTTGTTAAGGATGTTATTTGGATCTGCAAAGACCGAATTAATTCCCAAATCCCAATTGTTTTATTCAAACATCACATAAGCAACTTTGGCGCAAATCAATTTTTGCACTCTCGCAGACAATGCCTCGTGTTCATCCAAGCGTGAACACATACCACACAAAAATGATACCAAATGATTTGGTATAAAACACTATTTCATAAGATGTATAATCATTTACTGTTCATAGATGATTTCTAAAATAATCAGCAATTTTCTAGGTGTAAACTTTTTTTTAACTCACACTGTATAGTATGAATTTTATTCATGATTTTATTTTTATCATAACGCAAAAAATTATCTCAGCTGAAAATAATGACATTGATCATAAAAAGAAGAACTAAGAACAGATTCATGTAATGGTAGCAAAATTTAATGGTCAAATCATTTATCAACAGAGCCTTCAAAAATAAGTAAGTATGATGTACTAAATGTCTTCTTCATTTGGATCACACCATGTCATTGTCGAAAACTTTACAAGTGCCAAAGATTGTTAAAAACAAGCTATTCTACACAAAGCCAGGCATTTTTCTTCTTTATGAATAATTTCATAACATAATATTAAGGCTTACAATGAATATTAAATTTGAAAAAGTTGCATCATCTTTGGCTAATAATCAATATTTGTTAAGCAAGAATGGTACATGTATGTATCTTTTAATCAACCTACCACCTAGTGAGTTAATTAATTGAAGCATCAGAACCTATGAAATCTCAATGCATTGTTTAAAATCAAAGTTACATGTATCTATGCAATCTAATTTATGACTGGAAATTGAAATAAAATATTTTGATCATTGACATGAGTTATCACATGTGCTTTTATTCTTACTCTTATTAAATTCTGTCTTTCAATTTTTACAATCACTAAATGACAAAGATGAAATTGTAGGTACACAATTCCAAAATGGAATTCAAATCGTTTTTAAAAAGAAAAAAACAGTTTATGATAGTTTGTTTTATAATAATTGAAAAGTCACATACACAAAAAGCCCCAAACTTAAATAAACATTATATTCATTTCCCTAAGAACATTTTCAAACACTAAATCTAACTAAGAAGTATATATTTTTGTGTAATCATAAAAGATGAAAAGAAAACCCCAAAGGAATTTAAGCTACTTTGTTGTGCATGACAAAACCAATGGTGCATATTCTAGTACATTGTCATAAAAGACAAGCATTTTTTCAATAATTCCAGCAATGCTAATATAATTGAAATATTGAGCCATTTGAAAACAGAAATAGTAATCATTTTGTCCATGGACTTTCTCAAACTCACCCTATCTCAGGCTCACATACATGTACATTTGAATTTCCAACCTTCATTCAAAAACTGAACATAATTGTGCGTTTATGTCCTCACCATGGCCCTTCATAAAATTAGAAAATGAGCATTTGAGAAGAAGAGAAAAACATATCAAAATCTACTGCAAGGTGACTCATTACTATAGTTTGAAATTATTCAAATCCAATCTAATCCAAAAAAATATTTGATATAGTGTCTTGTCTTGCAGTTTCAAAGCACTACACATACATGTATTGCTCGACATGTCTGGGCCATTGTACATAACATCAAAATACCAGATAAATAGTGATGAACCATGTTTTCTGGCAGAAGGCAGAATAAAAGGAATATTAAAAGTATCATGAGCTGGACATCACAGACAGCTCTCTTCAGAATGATAGGAGAAGCTTGTTAGACAACTGGTTCCTTCATGGAGCTTAAAGATAAAGTTGAGTTCAGGTCACGCGATTGCATTGTGAAAGAAACATTGTGGACTCGATCAGAAAAGGTTGATAATCTAGCATATAAGTATTGGTGTATACTGCATGGTTCTGGAATCATCAAAATAATAAATTTGGCCCAGTCTTGGTAAAGTTACAAGCACTGTACACATAAATATGTATATGGGACTACACGAAAATGTGGCATAAAAATCTGTCCTGATTTTTGTGCTGTTACATGTCATATTCAGAATATTAAGGCATTTGAAGAGCCAGGCTTTTTAGGGAAGATGTTTTATCTGATGCTCTTCAACACTTGCATAAAAGCAATGATAATGCTCACAAATTATTATTAACCTCTTCCCAGAACTCAACCTTCTCTTTAAACAGGAACTATGAGTCCTCTGCAACAACAGTCTTTGACTCCACATAATCTACAGCTTTCTGCTTCACCGAGTTGATGGTGGACTCGTCTCCGTATTTCTTCTCAAAGTCAAGGAAGCGTTTGAAGAAGAATTTCACTTTCTTGGCTGACAGCTTCAGATTTATGACCCTCTCAAAGAGATGTCTGAAAAAAAAGAAAAAAAATCTTCATTCAGGTCAACAACAACAAAGTAAATATATTTAAGTTTACTTTAAAAGGTTACCTACATGTAGGGAAGTAAATTATCACAAAGAAATGATCTCTACAGAACTACTTACTTTAAAACAAAGAACCTAGTAGGATACACCCATTAGATGCAGCTTATAAGTATCAGCTTGCATGGTGATGTAGATATACAGTAGGCTTTAACACGGTTGCACCATGTGAGAGAGAGGGAGGAGGATTGGGGAGTCCTAAAAAGGACTGTCGTAATCTTTCTTTCTAGAGTGTGTGAGTAGTCCTGAAAAGGACTGTTGGAAGTCTTGAAAAAGACTGTTGGTAATCTTTCTTGAGCTTATAGTTCTAAGGAGAACTCCTGTTGGAGAGGATGGGTAGTAGGAGTGGCTCAACATTTCGAACAGGTTGACTCCTCTCTCTCTCTCACATGGTGCAAACATAAGCCTACTGTATATCATACACCCATTGTGTGAAAAATGCCAAGACCAAACTTTTCAGACCTTGCAATAGCCAATTATGGAAAATTTCAAGATATTTTGAATAGGACCACACTTTTCATGTAGATAATTTGCATATGTACTTTTACGCTGAAGTGACCACACATCTGTCATCTACCTACAAAGGCAACTGATCATCCCTTCCCAAATCATTGGGTATTTACACAAGGGGGGCGTTTCACAAAACTTGTCATCAGTGACAAATGACAGCTTTTTTTATAAGCTACTGAAATCCTTGCTTCTGATTGGTTATCAGCAGATTTGTCACTGATTTTTGTCATTTGCCATTGAAAAAAGGCTTTGTGAAACGGCCCCTGGTTGTCCTGTAATATCTTATCTCTATTCAAATTCTTCAGGCCAACTCCGCTCCAAGGTCAGAACATTGATAACAGATTTACTCAGCTGCAAATTTCATGTTATGTTAATTACAAACAAATTGTTGATTATGTAATATTTTATTGTACTTTAAGTCTTCAATTGATTCATTTGATTGTGGTTTGTTTTTTAATGTACCGGTATTGTTTGTTTGTATGATTCCTTGTTCAAATTTATTTGTGAAATATGGAAATAAATTCAAATTCAAATCAAATTCTGGGGGAGGGTAGAAACGTCGTCGTCCCCCCCCCCCCCCCCTCCCCCCCACCCCCCCCCCCCCAAAAAAAAAGGAAGAAGAAATACATCATATAATATTGTGCATTCTTGTTTATACCTGGATGTTCCTGTGTCGCCCTGTTTGATGGTCAGATCCAGATAGATGGACCAGATGTCGGTTCTTTTGGGGTAGTTACTGAGGATGTTTTCAAACATGGTCTTGCCCCTCTCAGACTCGGCATGGCGGTACTCCAGCTGGGCAAACTTCACGATCACACTAACGTCTGTTCAAACAAATATTATATTTCAATCTAAACTGTTATTTCCCCATCAAATAAAAAATAAACATACTTCTGCTTGTTTTCTTCATTACTGTAAAATAATATTGAAATGGTCACCCACAGCCATATTTCTACTGGGCAAACATAAACCTCCACTGTCTATTTGCCTTGTATGATACTCATGTACATCATTAGGATTGATTAAGCCTACACCTAAAGGTAGGAAGGTGCTAAGTTATGAACGCATTTATATATTATCATAACCCAACTTAAAAAGAAGGTTGAGTTCTGGAAAGAGGTGAAAACTAATTTGTTAGCGTCATCATGTAACGCCTAGCTGGAATGCTCCCCAGGGAGTGGAGATTGTGCACACATTGTGTGCGCGCAAGCACTGAATCCAATGACCGGGGTAATAGTATATTTGTAAAGCGCTTAGAGACATTTGTATTAAGTGCTATATAAAAATTAAACATTATTATTATTATTATTATTGTTATTATGCAAGTGTGGAAGAACATCGGATAAAAAATGTTCCCTGAAAAGCATGGCTCTTCGATTGCCTTAATATTCCAAATATCGCATGTAAGAGCATAAAAATCGGGACAGATTTTTATGCCACATGTTCGTGTAGTCCCATGTTCATATTTCTGTGTACAGTGCTTGTACACACCAAGACTTATAATGCTAGATGATCAACCTTTTCTGATCGATTCCACTCCTTTTCTTTCACAATGCAATCACATGACCAGAACTCAACTTTATCTTTAACTCAAACCGTTTGTCTAGTGTCATTCATTTAAGACTTGTGAACAAATCAGCCGACAGTGTGTCATATGGCTTGTTCAATATTGTTCTTGCATCCCTCTTTTGAATTTTTTGCAGCTTAGTTGTATGGGAAAGAAATCTGTTCGACCATATAACAGAGCAGTAATCTAATCGTGGCAACACTAGACTGTTATAAAATAACTTTAAGGATTGTTTAGGCAAAAGACCCTTTGCTCTCTTTATCATGCCAATGATAGTTATTGGCTTGCACCCAGTAGATTATTATCATGTGTTGTATCTTGTTATTGAAAACATGATCAAACACATCATCATAATCTACAGGGTGCGACCAAAAATTTCTTAACAACAATTGAAACCTCTTCAAGGACGTTTAACAATAAAAGCTGTTCTTTATTCAAAGAGTATTGTAGAGGCGATGAACAAATGAGAATAATAATTGAACGTCGTTAACATACATGCCAACATTTGAAAATCAGAAATCTGTACAAATTATGCTATTTTCAAAAAAAAGAGGAACAATCCTAACTCTCCTATTCAATACTACAGACAAATTTGTACAGGAAGAGGAACACCTGCATTAAAATGATAATTATCTTCTCCCAAAAAGAGGAATGTTCCTCTTTAATCTGAACAGTTGGCATGTATGCGTTAAGCGTGAGACCGTTCACGTCTATCTCTCTCTAAAAATAATCTGAACAATAGACATGTTAGCTTTCAATTATCTGCCCTTTCAGAGACCTCCGTGTCAAATTCATAACCAAACTAAAATGCCGTAAAGTTTGCCGGCCATAAAAAGCTATTGTGCATATTCTATGACAAAAACATTAAATGTGTACCCCAACTAAACTTCAGGAATTCAATAGCATAGAATGGGGTTTGCTTGCTATTTATGACGACGGCTATTCATAAAGGATCTCTATTCATTTTGTCACGCGTTATGGATAGCGGTCCTTTTTATGGATAACGATCTTAACCCCATTTATCTACCATGTGATTGGCATGTAACACTACATGGAATAGCACCTCGTTGCTGTAAACAACTTATTGGCTTGCAACCAGTGGATTATGATCATGAGTTCGATCTTGTTATTGAAAAAAAGTCTGACAACAGCAGGGTCTACTGGGTGCAATCAAAAGATTTCTTAACAACAATTGAAATTTTTCCAGGATGCCTAACAATAAAAGCTGTTATTTATTTAAAGAGCATTATAGAGAGTAGACGATGAAAAAATAAGAATAATGATATAACGTCATCATTAAGCGTGGGACCATTCATCTCTATCTCTCCCTGCCAAATAATCCAATCTAAAGAATCCATCGAGGGGAATGAACTATTAAACTAACTTAGCACGAGCCTTGAAAAAGATAATGACTACTGCATGTCAGAGTAGTATTAAAGAGCAGCAATGGCGAACGATTGTGGCTAAACTTCAGAAATAGTGGATCGCTTTTTCCTAAAAAATTACCATCAGATATCAAGCTACATAGAACTATGATCGACAAACATGATAATTACTACTGCCTATGAAATTGTAAATGAAAATGACAGGAGGAAAAAACTAGTGATAACAAGCACTATGTGCAAAACAAATGGGATTTCCTGACAACAATAAGGAGAAAAAGAAGAATATTTATAAGAAAGAATGTGAACGGAAACAAAGCATTGTATAGTGCTCATGTCTAGCACATTGCAACTCTTGGCGCTCCATTATTATAATCCTTGCTTTATCATGGCTGTTATTACAGCGCTCAAGCATTTGAAGAAATTAATTCCTGCCATGTACGCATTATCATCACCACCACCACCTCCTCCCCCTCCCTCTCCCCCTCCCCCTCCCCCTCCCCCTCAGCACAAAAAAATGTAACATTGTCATCAAAATTATGACCATGATCACCATCAGCATCATAAAAATCTTCTCAATAATCATTGTCTCCATTCAAACATAAATCCATCATCGTCAAAACTTACGGTCTTTCTGAATAAGGCTCTTGAAGCTCCTCTGCATGAGGCGTCTTGCTGGGTCGTGCTTTCCATGTTTCATCAGGAATGTGCCAAAACCAATCCACACGTCTGGGTCAAACTTGAACCTCTTGACCATTGTCTCATAGAGCTGCTCTGCTTGCTGAGGGTCAAAACGTATATATTTACAAATACTCAATCAGAGAAAGACAATGTATTCTGAAGGTCAAACTTGAACCTCTTGACCATTGTCTAATAGAGCTGCTCAGCTTGCTGAGGGTCAAAACATATATATACAAATACTCAATCAGAGAAAGACAATATATTCTGAAGGTCAAACTTGAACCTCTTGACCATTGTCTCATAGAGCTGCTTAGATTGCTGAGGGTCAAAACATATATATACAAATACTCAATCAGAGAAGGACAATGTATTCTGAAGGTCAAACTTAAACCTCTTGACCATTGTCTAATAGAGCTGCTCAGCTTGCTGAGGGTCAAAACATATATATATATATATACAAATAATCAGAGAAAGACAATGTATTCTGAAGGTCAAACTTGAACCTCTTGACCATTGTCTAATAGAGCTGCTCAGCTTGCTGAGGGTCAAAACATATATATATATATACAAATAATCAATCAGAGAAAGACAATGTATTCTGAAGGTCAAACTTAAACCTCTTGACCATTGTCTCATAGAGCTGCTCAGCTTGCTGAGGGTCAAAACATATATATATATATACAAATACTCAATCAGAGAAAGACAATGTATTTTGAAGGTTAAACTTAAACCTCTTGACCGTTGTCTCATAGAGCTGCTCTGCTTGCTGTGGGTCAAACATATATATATACAAATACTCAATCAGAGAAAGACAATGTATTCTGAAGGTCAAACTTGAACCTCTTGACCATCGTCTCATAGAGCTGCTTAGCTGGTTGAGGGTCAAAACATATATATACAAATACTCAATCAGAGAAAGACAATGTATTTTGAAGGTTAAACTTAAACCTCTTGACCATTGTCTCATAGAGCTGCTCTGCTTGCTGTGGGTCAAACACACATATATACAACTACTCAATCAGAGAAAGACAATGTATTCTGAAGGTCAAACTTGAACCTCTTGACCATTGTCTCATAGAGCTGCTTAGATTGCTGAGGGTCAAAACATATATATACAAATACTCAATCAGAGAAAGACAATGTATTCTGAAGGTCAAACTTGAACCTCTTGACCATTGTCTAATAGAGCTGCTCAGCTTGCTGAGGGTCAAAACATATATATATATATACAAATAATCAATCAGAGAAAGACAATGTATTCTGAAGGTCAAACTTAAACCTCTTGACCATTGTCTCATAGAGCTGCTCAGCTTGCTGAGGGTCAAAACATATATATATATATATACAAATACTCAATCAGAGAAAGACAATGTATTTTGAAGGTTAAACTTAAACCTCTTGACCGTTGTCTCATAGAGCTGCTCTGCTTGCTGTGGGTCAAACACATATATATACAACTACTCAATCAGAGAAAGACAATGTATTCTGAAGGTCAAACTTGAACCTCTTGACCATTGTCTCCAGGAGCTGCCCTGCTTGCTGAGGGTCAAAACATACATGTATATATACAAATACTCAATCAGAGAAAGACAATGTATTCTGAAGGTCAAGCTTGAACCTCTTGACCACTGTCTAATTGAGCTGCTCAGCTTGCTGAGGGTCAAAACGTATATATACAATACTCAATCAGAGAAAGACAATGTATTCTAAAGGTCTAACTTAAACCTCTTGACCGTTGTCTCATAGAGCTGCTCTGCTTGTTGAGGGTCGAAACATATATATATACAAATACTCAATCAGAGAAAGACAATGTATTCTGAAGGTCAAACTTAAACCTCTTGACCATTGTCTCATAGAGCTGGTCAGCTTGCTGAGGGTCAAAACATATATATACAAATACTCAGAGAAAGACAATGTATTCTGAAGTACAAAACAGCCACACTTGATTTTAATATTTTCCAAGGGTGATTAGACATTTTCTCAGTGAAATGTGCTCTGGGCTTTATCGTCATGGTTAGGGTTATGTAGGGAAAGGAGTAGGGTTATGTTTACAGTTAGAGATAGGTCAGGGTAAGGTAGATGGTGCTTAGTCCATGGTTTAAGTTGGGACTTAATAATAATCTTTTAATCTTTTAAAGTCCACTATAAATTTTATTAAGTTAAACCGAAAATTGAACATCTTTTTGCCCGTGAAATGATCATGAAATGAATTGATCGTGAGCTCGGCAGCCACTGAGCAGCGCTAGATGAACGTTGCTCTATCCCTTATTGTTGAACGCCAAACAAGGTAGCAGCAACTCCCGTCTTTTGGTATGATGTGGCCGGGGTTCGAACCCTTGACCTCCCAGTTGTGAGGCGGACGCTCTACTGACTGAGCCAACACACCGCTGAGAGTTTGCAAATGTGTGTAGCAAATGTGATCAAAGTATGTGATAGGCAACCTTTCTATGCCTTCTACTTTTCAAGCAATTAATGAATAAAATAGCGCTGTAACACTAACCTCAATCTTGGAGGTCCTTGTGTAAATACTGACTAGCTGTTGGAAGACTTTGATTGGCTCACACTGCTGTAGCGCCCTCTTGAAGACGGCAACAACTTCCTCTTCTGTTCCATAAAGATTCTCCAAGTTGAGATACGCCACCCACACATTCAGTTTTTCCTGCTCCTCTCTGGATCAATGAGATCAATGAGAATTTTAGAAGATGGGTTCAAGAATGTATTAAGCAATCCGATTGGTCAATTGACATCACATGGGCGTGTATTAGTTCTTCCCATCGTGCAAAACATCTCATATCAAAAATTGATAACACACGCTCTATACCTGCCGATATCGCTTGCACGTAATTCAGCCAAATTTAATTTTTGCATAATTTTCAATATCTAGACTATATTGTAAGAAAGTATTGTCGACCCATCTTATAAAATAAATAATGCACTGTTTCGCTCGTGTGTTAGCGCAGTTCCAGTGCACTCAGTTTAGTCCATGCGATATCCATAACGCACTTGTCCTGTGGGCGCGTGCATTATCACCTATGTGCACTGACTAAACTTCATGCACTGGCCTTGCGCTAACACACTCGCAACAGTGCATTATTGGTATACTGACAGTTAAGTTTGCTAAATTGCAGTTTTTCACATAAAAGGCGTATATAGAGATATCTATCATTTTTTTTATTGCAACCAAGAGTTAAGGTTGGATTTCAAATACAAAGTAAAAATACAAAGAGATACATAACAATGGTAGAAATAATTTAAACCAAGTCAAATAAACTGTAGAGCCTGATAATTAAATATATGAATAACAGTGTGCTACAATCAAATGATTACACATTATCAAATAAATTAATGTAAGCTCATAAGTACAATATTGCATAATGAAATATGATTTTGTTTAACATCATAAGTAATTAGAGTAGGTACGGCATACTCTAGTGTGGTCATTATTTCAGTAACAGGCATGTAACTGAACTTTCAAAAAATGGGCATGTTTCAAAATTCAGTGCAGTATATTTTCTTAAGTCTCTTTTTTTATAAGATTCAAATTCACCAAATAACTGTTGACTTATCCATTCTAAAATAATTTAAAACTGGAGTACTCTCAGCCTAACAAAATGTATACTAATTGAAAAATGTTATTCAGGATACACCATGTGTATAACACCAAGACAAATAATCGGGAGACTGGGATGTTTTGAATCAGCAGAATATAAACTGTGAAATATGAATACCAAAGACCTGCTGGATATGATTTGAAATTGATAGGACATGGGTCATCTTGGGCTTAGTATTATTTAAGGGGGTGTAGCATGGCAAATACTGGTTAATGCCATCTACGACTCCTTTTGGACAACTGCGCATAAACTAAAGGACTTGACTAACGGTCAGCGCGCTCTAGCCTTGGCGAAACAGACTGAAGTTCTCCTCACGCTTCGGTTTTGCGTATGTTGCACACACATGAATACTGCGGTTGCGTCGTCCGTAATTGTATTATACCCTATTGGGCTTGAGTCAGGCGATGGGAAAGACACGTAGTCTCTTCATGATACACCCCCCTTTAAAGCAGATTACAACCGCTCAAATCATCAATGTTTACATTAGGTACGAAAAAGGAAACATTGAACTGATTTTCTAGTGCTCCATAAGTGGATTGCTTTGAACCAACTACTAGATTTCCTAATCAGCTAATGTACATATAAGCCTATCAACAAGTTCAACAATAACAAGTAACTATTCAATCTTGCTATTTGATCAGAAATGAGCTTTTCCCATTCTTACCTGAAATTGATGGTTTTGAGAGCACGTTCTGCAATGGCCCGGGCCTTCTCAATGTCCACTGAATGGAGGTAGAAGGCCATGTAACGGATCCAAGCGAGGGAGCTGTTTGGGGAGCTGGCAACCAGACGATCAAAGTCCTCGGGTGTCTCTGGGGTCCTCTCGGCATCCATGAGGGCTCGCTCAGTCTAGATGGAGTGCAGAGCATTATACACGTACAGTCAAACCTGCTTTAGTGACCACCTGACTACAAAGGCCACATTTGTTGTTTCCCTTGAAAATGGTTTCTCATTGAATCATGTACTAAAGGAACCTGTCTACAAAGACCACCTGCCTACAAAGGCCACATTTGTTGTTTCCCTTGAAAATGGTTTCTCATTGAATCATGTACTAATCGAACCTGTCTTCAAAGAACACCTGTCTACAAAGGCCACTTTCTGTGTTTCCCTTGGGTGGACGCTATAGACAGGTTTGACTGTACAATTAAAGATGATGTATCACTTCTCAATCAATGATTCAGTACAGAAGTGTCTGTTTAATGTCGAAGACCCCTCCTCTATTCTATAAGATATTTTTTCTTCATTTCTTCCTTAATTACAGAGCCCCTCAGATACAAGTAGAATTTAAAGCAACTGACTAATTATCTACAAGCACATACCTTTACTCTACTCTGTCAATTATAAACAGTCAAATATGTTCGATATTGTACCTACATGTACTTGGTCTAACAATCACCAGAAATTGCTATCACCAGGATTCCATATGTAGACCAAATAAAATCTATATTGGTAAAGGACACTGCCTTGTACTTTGTATAGGACAGAAGTTTTGTGTACATATTCAGATTGTCTTAACAGTTTACTTACCTTATACAAAATATCTTCTTGGGCCTTTTCCTCCTCTTTTAAATCCTTCTTGCTCGTCTTGACTGGTGGCTACAACATAAAACGAAAAACTATTATGGCCTTTTCTTTTTTACAAAGCTTGTTTACATGATGCAATGCATAGAATGAGTCGATACCTACATGTATACTGTACTAAATAACACAACAATTTGTGCGTTTTTTGTGATACGTGGTATTATACAGATATCGACTGGTAGTGTGTGTAATATAACATTTTCTGGACTGCCGAAGGAAATTATGTTTTCCCAAGGTGTTATATTCTCAGGACATCACATGACAAGCTTTGAACCAATCACGGCTTTGTATCTGTCTGTACGAGCTATCTCATATAAGCACATTACATATCATACTTTTCATGCGTCAACTCGATTTGATCATAAAAATTCATAGAAAAACAACAAATATGAAGTTCTCTTTGGATCTATTTTTTGTACGAGGAGAAACTTACATGTACATTGTACATGTAGACAAGCTTAAAAACTGACTGACAATATGCTAAGGCACACTGTAACATATGATGGACCATAACACAGTAAAACAAAACAAAATGTTTTGCAATTTGAAACTTTCCCTTATTGTGAGGGACAATGATTTTCAATTCATTTCAATTCAATTCATATTGGTTTTATTGTAAAAAAAAGAACAAGGCAAATGTCCAGAGACTAATATTGTCACATTTCCAGTAAAATACAAGATAATATGAAATTAAATAAGGTTATAACATGTACATTAACATATGGTAGTTCAATAATAACTAAAAAGGATAAGGCGACTTGGTGCATCAAAGAAACAATGTTAAACAGTAATTATTACATGTATATTCATTTGGATAGAGTTTCAAAAAGATTCAGTGTTGTGTCAGTTTCGATTCAGTTATTTTGCCGCATTTAACTTCAAAAATCTTAATCGCTTATAATGCAATTCACAAATATTTCTAAAGTTTCTGTTTCAACTAAAGGTAATTTATACATCTTCTTCTAAGGGCACGTTTTGGGACAATAAAGAAAATTGATAAACTCCGGAATTGCCATCCCTAATTTCTACCTCGTTATCTTCTTCTTCCTCCTCATCTTCCTCGTCATCATCATCATCACTTTCATCCGCCGTCCCTGCTTTTCTTGATGTGGCTGGTTTGGTAGTGGTATCACCCCAGCTGAATCCAGAAGATATCTGGAGTCTTGGAGTGTCGCTGCTCGACTTCTTAGCTACCGTTATAATCTATTGGGCAGAACGGAAATGAGAGACAAATAAAGAAAGCTTCAATCTTCGTCTACAATACAGTAAAATCTGTATATAAAGACCACCCCAGAGAGACAAAAGAGTGGTCTACAGGTTCCTGCAAAGCAGACTTCAATGGAAAATAAACTGCTCAGGAGAAACAGTGCTGGCTGTCTATCCATATGGCTGCTAAATTAAGTTTGGTAAACTACATTTTTTTTGACAATGTACTGTAAAAGTAAAGTTCTGTCGGGCTTTAAAAAAAAGTTCTTTATTACTTAATAAAGCTGTTAATCTAGTTGGTTATTGCAGGTGGCCAGTAAAACAAGGAAATCAAAAGTGTCTGCTTGAGAGAGAAGAAACAAAACAATTCCTTTCTCCTATGAAAAATGATTTATTCTACATGTCACCTTATCCTATTTTTTCAGTTGATTTGGTATTAACAAATTAACAAAAGGATCTACCGGTACTGGGGATGAGCCAAAATATGAAAAGTTATATAAAGGTAACACTGTAGGTCTCTCACCATTGGAAATGAAAGAGATTATAATAAAAATGGAAATTAAATGGTAAAAGATCAATGCAGAGTAAAAATTTTGATTGCATGAATGTACCTGTAATTCTCATCATCTTCCATAACACTCGACAACTATCACTCCTATTTCTAAGAGTATTTGTAGCTATTGCTGCTATTACTACAAAGTAGATGTACATGTATAAGCATACACATACATTAATTACAATCAACTGCTGCCACTCCTATATCTACATGTGATAGTATTTGAAACTATCGATTTCTCCGCAACCAGCAATCTCTCAGTACCTTTAATAAATATTTCTAAATTCATCTCTTTTGTTAATAACATAATAGTAAAACACATTTGAACAAGTACATGGAAATGGCGCTTTATAAATACATTAATATACTTATCGTTTTTATTGCTACTACTACTGATTGTAAATTTACTACAATATTTACATGTACTACCATTCCAATCATCTTAAAGTGACTCGGTAACATTGCCTCAGATTCTGAAACAAAATCCTGGATTTAGCTCATGCTGCAATCATAATTATAAACCTTTAGGTCAGTCAGGAATCCCATGGCTTTTACAAGCCGATCGCTTGTCTGATTATCAAGATATTTTATGATTGGAAATCAAAAAATTTCTTTTTCCTAACAATTTTGTTTCACACTACAGTCTAATGGGGAAAATGAGTATGGTAAAACCGGTCACTCACAGATTTTAATTTTTTTGAGGCACTTCTTGATGGTGGTGGTTATGGTGGTGGTTATTTTTTTACCTGACTGCTAAGAAAGCATTAATGCTTGTAAGTACTAGGTAAGCAACCAGACGTTGACGGCTTTAGGTCCTCTCCGAGGGACCTGGTAATGAGGATTAATGCATAACGGATAACGAGACCACTGCTCTACCGACTGAGCTATCGCGCCTCCTTTTGATCATTTTGAAGCACAATTTTTTTAGGGCTTCAATATTACACCATATCACAGACAACGATAACACGCATCTCAGATTTATAGTTGTATAATGATGCATTTAAATATGACATCATCACTAACCTCAGCTTCTGTGTCACTGAGAGGATCTGCTTCTCCTAGTCCGCTATCATTCCCATCTTCTGTGGACTTTTTACCTTTCTTTGTGCCATCTCTTTTCCTCTTCACTGTACACAAAAAAGAGAGAGAAAATCTTTTTTAAACAATAGAGACTAAAAGAATATGAAATATGTGAAAAACAGAATCGCAGTGGGATGTGAAGTCAAGGCGCAAAATGTTTATTCTTTCTTTTTTTGTTTACAATACACACGTCTCAACTCTGTCAGTGACACTGAGTTTATCAAAATGTACAAGAACTAAGCTTGTCAAGAGTATTCCACTCTTATACCAAACATCAACCCCACCCAACCCCACCTAACTGTGCATGTATCACACCCTGGTAGAACAGGGGTGCAAGTTTGTACCTCCTGCTTGTCTCTGGTCCTCTGGTACAGGGTCTTCCAGTCCGGTGTCCTTGCTGGAGGATGAGAGTTCTATCTTCCCAGACTTCTTGTCAATGCTTGGTGGGGAAGAAAAACAAGAACATATTCCATAACCATGTTGACTAATCACTTCAGTTTGGTATCTCAAATAAAAAGACATCAAATACATGAGATATCTGTAATAAATCCATTTGAATTGTTGAAACTATACACACATGTGGGTGAAGAACTGTTAAATTGATGATTAGAATAAAAAATATTTCAATTGTTTTAAATTAAAACCAAGTCTACTATTAAAGTGGAATCCATTTAAGGATGAACAAAACTTGGAATTAAATCTAAGTCATTGAACCAAATATGGAGGACAATAGCTCCTCTACAACATAACTCAATATTCCAAGGTTGCTTGAATCAACTTGTACTATTTCCTTCCAAATATCACATCCACAGGAACTGAAATCATATCCAGGCACTGGTATGGTCATACATACACAATTTGGGGAAGGCAACTAATTCATTTCAAAGTATACACTGCATATGATAAACAATTGAATAGAGGTACCAGGGGGGTGTTTCACAAAACTTGTCATCAGTGGCAAATGACATTTTTTATTATAAGTTACTGAAATCCTTGCTTCTGATTGATTATCAGCAGATTTGTCATTGATTTTTGTCATTTGTCATTGAAAAAAGGCTTTGTGAAACGGGTCCCAGGAGTCATCAGCCACGTCCCCATACCCCATTCCCGACCATTGCCCCTTGCCTATATTCTTGTGGTTCCATACCTAAGCACTTTGGTAGAGAGTAGCTTGCCGACAGTAAATACTGCAGATGGATCCTTCACATAGAAAGCAGAGAGCTTCTTCAGCAGGATGCGCCCATGGAGATTTGATGAAAGACTACAGACAAATAAAATCAAATGATTTGAAATAGATCATTGAAAAAGACGTGACATGCAGCTCAGGGCTGATATCGTCTGTTTAACAAATATTTCAGATATTACATTATAATAAAAACATAAAAACACAAAAGCAATATAACAATGGTAACATCACACAGTGATACTATGTATAATTTAGAAATCTACCAAATCTGTGGTAAGTACATGAAGTTATCAAAATAGTTTAGGCAAAGTGTTCAAGGATAAATTATCTAAACATGCGTAAACAAGAAGCTCCAAATAGATCCCTCCCATATAAAATCTCAATGCATACCTGCCAACCTATCACAGCGAAAATTAGGAATCTCTCAAGGCAAAATTAGAAATACGGACTATTTTGTATACATTTCACACAGAATATCACAGAAAAAGAGAGGAACCTAGGGTTCAAAACAATAGCTTGAAGGCCAAAAATTAGGAATCATTTATTCCTGCAAAATAGGAATGGTTGGCAGCTGATAGAACAATTTTGGTGCTCCATGATCTATGAAGGAGCGCGTCTGCTAGTGATGCAACTATCTCTCCTCTACTAGCTATGGTGATTCTTGCCGAGCGCCATTAATGTCAAGGAAAAGAGAAGTTTGATAGTCACCTGACAAAGACTCCCTTCTCCGAGCAGTGCCTGACATAGCCTCTGACGACTTGACCTTTCTTGAGGTCATCTAGGGTTCGTATCTCTAGGTCGTATCCTGAGGGCGGGGTAGCTTTCTTGACCTGGGAAGGTCGCATGGAGACGGAAGCACCATGCTTACCCGTGCTGGCTTCACTTATACAGCATCTATCATGCAAATTTGAGGACGTAAATTGATAATTAAATGGTTATAACTTTAATGATTACTAATACTCATGATAAAAACAATTTTATTAATAATTTAAGAGTTATAACAATAATGTTAAAGGTGATTTTATTATCACAAATGTATATCAAACAAGCAACAACAAAAAAGATCAAATTCGGGATGAGTGAAATCTAGAAGCAAAGCAAGAATGTATTTCTCACATAGCACCTTTAGTGGTAATCTCTCTACACATGCCCTACACTGGACAATATGAAACAGTTTTGGCCTTCATCTTTAGCATCATACCTGTGATATTTATGGTGCTCAAATCTTTCCAGTGGGTTTTCTTGGTAGATATCGTCGATGTCCGTCGCAAACATGCTGCCTTGAAGACCATAGGGGAGCTGAACTTGAGCCTTGTTTTCCAGGATTTTGGTCACTTTACAGTTGACCACAGACCCTACTTCGAAGGTGGTTGCGATGCATCCTAAAATAACACACCGAGAAAAAAAAATAAGAGGATTGTCATTTCAAGCTACAACAATACTTTGATCATATATATCTTTTACCATCACACAAATTTATATACAGTTCCCAGCTGCGCAGTTGTTTTAAAGAATCTACCCGGAAATGACCAGATACTGTAAATGTCAATGGGAGGTTAAGGAAATGATGTATTCATCTTGAAAACTAAAAGAAAACTGATTGCCATTTTCAAAACATCTTTACATAAGTGGGAGAATACCCTTGCTATTTCTACCAAAAAGATAAATAGACTTTCATTTACTCTTAAAAGGCAATGGCATTTTGATAACAAGAAAGTTGATGACTCAATTTTCTTAATGATTAGAGCTTACTATGGAAACATAAAAATAAGATTTAAGCTGCTTTTTGGCTTTATCCAATAACTCTGGTTTGAACATCACTAAAGCATCCATGAATGTTTGTGAGATTAACATATGTACATTAAAAAAAAAACATCTCCAATAATTGCATGTTTAAAAAAATACAATAATACTACCAAGAAATATATTCATTGAAAAACTTATAGCACACACATTTTAACTAGTGAAAAACAGAATTCCCAAAATGAAGTCAAGAGATGCGGGCAGCCACTGCATGATGGTCCGAACATCAATAGCCACTTTGAGGCGCTATTGTATTTTCAAGACAAGACAAACAAGAAGCAAAATATCCTTTAGGCACTTTAGGTGCCAAAACAAGGGTGGGTCAGTCAGAAATCTTTCTTTTTTTACTCCCCCTTCGGGATTGTATTTCTCAGTTTTGAATGCTTTAATATATTTTTTTTCTAAAAATAGTATTTCAAAAAACTTTTTTAACAAGCTGACTGTAGATTTTCAAGATTTTTGGGTCGGTCGCAAACGGCAATACAACATTTTTTTTCTTAGGCCTTATTATGAATAGTGCATTAATGTAATTGAAATACATGTTATAATGTACATGCAGATCTTTGATAAAGAAGTAACTGAATTTTGACTTACCGCTCATAGACAGCTCGAGCATGTTGTGCTCGTTATCCTGTCTCACGACCTTTGCCCTATGAACCTGACCCGGTTTGAAGTACGACTCTGGGTTCTCCAGTGTAGAGGCATGCTTGGAGAGATTTAGGCGATGAATTTTGCCTTCCAGAGATCGACTGAGGTGAACCCATAGAATCTCCTTGTGGAACTGAAAAATTACAATTTAACATTGCAAAATAAGATAACAACAATGACTAATGGATATATTATGGGCTATTCGGATCATTGTACATGTACCGATAGATTTCACTCAAATTGATTTATAATCAAATTTCATAATGTTTATATCTTAATCATTGTCATACAAAAACATCTGCTAGTCAATGAACATCTATAATTGACAAACTAGGATATCACTTAAATTTACTTGTTATCTTTGACCTGTATATTTATCATTTCCCAGTAGAAGCTATAAAAATGTTTCTTCAGATCATGAAATAATGGGAGTAAATAGTTTTTTATTTTCATATAAAATTACCTATATGGTATTCAACAAACTAGTTCCAATATCTAATAAACTCATCTCGATATCATGTCCTCTAACCTACTTTTAATGTCTCTGGCATTGCCTTCAATGGGAAAGGAAACTATAATACTTGATTTGACCTTGAAATCCTCCTGTTTCTTGTTAATTTCACATTCCTCCTTGTTTACAAATTTGTGCCAAGAAAAATTACTCTGAAGTTGATTTCTTGTAGATTTCATAAAGATTGCAATTTCCAAAATTCCAAGCTTGTATGTTACACCCCTATGAGTGTACATTACACACCAAGAATTTCCTGTGTAATTTACAACCTGTAAATACATTCAGGCTGTATAGTTGAGTGACCTACTTCTCTCTTAAACCAGTTTAAACCAGTTCAAAGATGATGTAATAAATATCCATGAACATTTTCATCTCAATGCAAATGCAGTTATTTATTTTGGCTAATTTTCTGAAGAGATAAGTTGATTGTTTAATGAGGTTTAAGTTTGAATTACTGATCTTTTGCTTTATGTTATAAAATTCTGGAAAATATTTTGCATCTGATGTCCAAAACTCTGATTTTGTTATTCAATCAATCTTAAAACCTCAATAAAGACAAATATGAACAAAATTTAAAAAAATCCCTGTAGGTTAGCAGATTCACAAACCTGTACAAGAATGTCATAACAGTCTGAAAATCTAAAAATGTTATTGATCATGTTAAGATGTTAATACCCAATACCAGACTTTTAACATGATGACTTTCAGAATAATAATCAATCACACTTACTCTGTTGATGATGCAAGTGACTGTTTGTCCTATTTGGAAAGCATTCATTTCATTCTCACTGCTTTGGTCTTCTGAAGGTACACTGTCTGCTTCCATCACACTAGTAACAAAGCATAATACATGAGGGTATTGTATTTTATGACCAACAGATAGTGCATACCTGCCAACATTTGAAAATGAGAATTTAGAATTTTTAGCACGTTATGTCTTCGAAAATAAGAAATCTGTACGCTTAACAGGCGTTTGCACATGCAGCGGCAGTGTAACTGGCAATACGCGGTAAATCTGTGCAAAAAAGCGAATACAAATTCGCTGCTCAATCATGCAGGCCTTCAACGCACGCAATACATGAACTCTCACATCGCGGCATATGATAAAACAAGCTTAATTGGCTTAAGCAACAAACAAAAATTTGCAAATCCGGGATATCCCGCATTTTGGGGTCCTAAAAATCCAGAAAAACAGGGTATTCCGAATTATTCGGGAGGGTTGGCAGGTATGATAGTGTCTCAATTAGCTATTCCTATTACCATTAGTTTACCTGGTATTTCTGGCCTTTATTCAACTGATCAATTTAACTTAATTTAATCCTGCTTTTTTCCTTTTTCTTCTGCCTCCCCATATTTGACATTTTCCCATTGACAATGCTTGGCATCAAATTCTCACAGACACAATTCATAGTGGAGTACTTCTGTATCAATTGTGGTAGGAAAGAAGTCACTTCTCTGTAATATCAAATGTTGAGATACATGTAGCAATAGGTAGAGAGAGGGGGTAGAGGGATTGTGTGAGAGAGAGAGAGAGAGAGAGAGAGAGAGATACTCTGAAGGAAATACAGATAAGAAAGAGAAAGAGAGAAAGAGAAAGAAAGAGAGAGAGCATACCTTTTTCTGGTGCTCAGTTCTAAAAGAGACAGAGCACCATGGCCATGTGAGACGGCCAGATGCTGTCCTCTCTTGCCCCGGCGACAACCTATGACCTTTGCTTTGACCTTCTGACCTATGGTGAAGAACTCCAGAGGGTATGAACCCTATGGACGAGAAAAACAAAAAGATTGGTTGGATAAATGGTAAAAACGTTATATACTGGTTCTCAATTACACGATGGATAAGTTCACCATACATTGATGATTATTCTATCCATTGCCTACGGGAACTTGAGAATCGAGTACTGGTAGTCAATATGTTAAAGCCCCACTGCACTAGTTTAGCCAGGGGGATTAGACCTACATGTACCTGCATGATCACTGACAGGTGGTTATCTCATCAAATAAACTCTCAATTAACATAAGAAAAAAGGGAATCATGGGGGATCAATGGTCACTGATGAGGCATTGTTTGCTATATAGAAGGCGCAAGTAGCTATAAGTAGTGCAGTGGGGCTTTAAGAGATATCATAATTCCATTGGTGATTGCAATTTTAAACAAATCTCTGGCTAAATCTCGGTGCATCATTAGAAACCACTTGATTATCCAATATTACGAAGGAAAAAACATGTATCATTACAAAGATTAAGCTGTCATTTAAAAAAGGGTGTGACTTGTGTATGGTATAATTTAATGATATCACATACAAAGGACAAGAAAGAATGATCAACTTGTTCATTTTCGGTACTCACCGGTTTCATTGTATCCGATACTTCGGTTGCATGTATCCTGCCATAGCCTTGACCACCCTCAATCTCTATGTTCACTTGAGATTCCTTCACTGACTTCACACTGAAGCAAAACAAACAGGTATGAGTTAAAAATCACATGTTGTCCCCCTGAAAAACCTTCTTTCCATTCACTTACAAATTTCAAAAACAGGTACTGTCTTTTCTTTTACTTTTTTCAGTTTTGCATCTTTGCATCTACAGTCTTCATACACTGTAGGTAAAATACTAATAATGATATTCCATTTTCCTAAATGGAAGCACATATCTCATGATATGTACATAAAACGTATGCATTTCAAATGTGACAGGAAATTATTATCCTGGCTTTAAATCTGGCAGCTGTTATCAGCACAAAGTGCATTTCACTGTGATAATACCCCAGTCACTGGATTTGATTGAAGGTAAAGACCGGTAGTGGTAAAATTGCGGTGCAAGGGTTTTGGGTGCAAAATATCCATTCAATATTGTTTAAATATCGCCTTCAGAGGTTTAGATGGCAATATTTCAACCTAAATTCGCAAAAAAGCTGAAATATTTTCCCAAATGTTCAATGTTGAAGTGCATTAGCGATATCTATCCAGGTCAGATCGATATGATAATTTAACAAATATATCAATTAGAAGGCGGTTTCATCACGTATTAGTCATGATTGGTAATGAGAGCTTCTATTTCATTTTTTGAGAGGGGGTATTTCCAAAACTGGTCTATACCTTTAAGATTGATTAATGTGAGCTAACTGTAGATTGACCATGCACAGGGCAGGTATTTGAACCATAAACTTTTTGAATGAAACACAAGTGAATGAACCACTATATCTTGGTGCTTCCAGCTCACATGTACACTGTATTCACAAGTCCTCTTTTAATTTACTTTTTAAAAGACAGCATCCCTGAATTACATGTCCTGACAACGATACAAATAAATTTCGTCTTTAAATGAGTACTTACACGGCATCTACAATCTGACCGACTAACTTCTGAGAGGTATCATGGACAGCGGCCGACTTGCGTTCTTTCTCCTTCTTCTTGGAGGGCTTATCTTCCTTCACCAGAGCTGCTAAGAATCTGCCGTCGACAAAACTGCACGTGAACGAAACAGAGTGACAGTAACATACCAAAATTATAATATACGATGGTGATGACAATGATGATGATGATGATGATGACGATGACGACGACTACGATGATGATGATGATGATGATGGTTTCTTGTCTCAGACATTCAACGTTCTTGGTCAGTGTTTCAAAATCTGATTTTTTTCCATTAGTCTTTGTTGGCATTAGTATTATTCTTGAGATAATGTCATAGCTGGGAACCGGAAAGCATTGAATGTATTGCTAAACAATGTGTGTATATATAAATCTGCTGTGCAGATGGCCTCATCTGTTGACCACTTCAAGAAATTACTCAAGTCACTATATATACGTGACTGATCTCTGAGAATATGTTATAACCAGGACAGGGATTGTACAGTATATTTGCTGGTATACTGTGATATCATTTGCTTACATTATGAAACTTACCTAGAGTCACCTATTGTTACTGTATCCCCAATTTTTATAGCATCCTTCTGCACTGAGAAGTTGTTCAGGTGCTACATGTAGAAGAAAACAATAGCAATCATCATTGATGAATAGAAAGATATAACAGTAAATACAATCATTCAAGTCAAATGGAAATTAGCCAATACATATTTAAACACGTGTAAACCACTACAAAAATCACCGGTGATACTCCTATGAAATCATTTACAAATAAATCTCATCCCGGAATCAATATCATTAATTTTATCAATGCAAAAACAAAGTCAATTGAATCAATAAAATTAGATGGAAAATAACCAGGCACATCTGAATACAAAATTGTAACAGCCAAAACTGTAACACCTATCAAATCATTTCAAAACACATACCATACAAAATATAATCACACAGCCCCAAAAGGGTAGGTAGATGTAAGTAAATCATGTCTAACTGACTCACCTGTTTTGCAGACAGGTAGACAAGTTTTCCCTGGCCTGTTTGGGCTAATATGAATTCACTTTTGACCATCAGAACCTTTCCTTTGTCTTCTGCCAAAGATGCAACCGCTTTCTTGCCCTTTGAAACAAAAACAACAACATTACAAGCAAGGAATCAGTAGAATGTCTTTCCATATGGTTTGATTAAGTCTACCAATTAGTTCAATGTTGTATATTAGGTGGACAATGGAGCACTTTCAGAATGGCTTCATAAATTTTGTTTATGTGAAGCAATGAATCAGATAATAATCAAATCTTTCCGATTCTGTGCTTGATTTGAAAGTATATCATTACCAGCATACAGAAATGTATACATTTATTTCCCCTCTTACATGTAGTTCCTATGTATCTGTAAATATATTGCTGCCTTGTATTTCTGTTTATACACCCTCCCCTCTATTTGTCTGCCTGTTTATATTTTATATATTTTTATTTTTTTTATTTTTTATTTTCACTTTATCGAATCTTGTAAATATGTGATTCTCATGATTTTTGATGATTTTTGATGAAATAAAGTCTTTGTTTGAATTTTTGAATTTTTTAAAATAAATTTTAAATAATTGTTGCACACCTTTCATTTCATTTAATCGTTCCTCCCCTGAAATCTGACAAGAATCTTAAACAAACATGTAAGTTACTTTGGCAAAACAAGGTGAACTAATGGCACACAATGGCTCGTTTTTGGTCTACAATTAATTGCCACTTAACAGTATCGACCTACACATGTAAAATCGTCCAACATCTAACCATGCCTGATAAATTATCTGAAAATAAAACAATATGTAAACAGCTTTACATGTATCTTTACATGAGTAAATTGCACCTTTTCTGGCTCGTACAGGTCAAATATACAACAAAACAAAAAAGTCAGCATTCAGCCTTTGTTACCTTTTTGCCTTTAGATTTAGATTTCTTGCATCCCTCTATGGTGTCTGGCTTCAGCGACAGAGTGACAGCTTTGCTTGATAGATCAATATTCATCACACAAGCTTCAATACTATCCCCAACTTTGGGGGATTTCCCTACAGATCAAAGATGAAGGAATATAAAATATAACGTCTGTACCTGTACTAGACATTAACATATTTACAGTGTATACTAACAATTAAGACTGAAAGAGAATGACATATTGAAATCCCTAACTTTCCCTTATTCTGAAAGGTTACTTTAATATTGAGATAACTGTTTGGAGCCAGTTTAACTCTGTATATAATGATATGAGTTAGCTCCCTTCTGGCTCAAAAGAGACAAATTAAAGTTAATATCTTTGCAAGCCTGTGGGGTTGGACTGGCATTTCTCTCAGTGACAATTGGTCAAGACTTTATTTCATTAAAAATATAAGGTTATGATTAGTGTTATTTTTAGTGTTAGAGATTTGGGTAAGGATAAAGGTTAGGTATAGTGTTGGGTCCAGGATTGTAGTCAGGAATGCAGTGAGTGTAGGAAATTGACTGCAAAGCAATGTCATCAGAGCACTCCTTGTCACTAGCAGAAAGAGACTTAATCTTCAAAGTCTTCACAGGTTATTTGTTTTATTAGTGAACTGTATGTAGAAGGTCGTATTCATGGAAAGAAGAAGAGGGGAAGACCTCGTAAAGGCTTTCTAAATGATTTAATCACAGAATGTGGAGCAACAGGGTATGAAACGCTGAAATGGATGGCTCAAGACTGAGGAACGTGGAGAGACACTTGATATAAAATTTTGATTGGGTCACTGAACCTGTCGTAAACTGACAGATCACTATTGATGATGTAGAGGAACAATTAATTTACAGATTTATTCAAGGTTTATCATTACCATGTACATGATCCTGTGGAATGACTGCATCAACGGCGTGAGGGAGGGAACAGATGATTCCCTTTCCTGGAGTACTCCTGACTGTGGCATGGACCAGAGAGCCAACCTTGTGGGAGATCACATGCTTGAACTCTACAAAGAGGGAGAAAAGGAAAGAACTTTTAAAGGCGGGACTGCACTACTCGTAGCTACTTGCGCCCTCTATATAGTAAACAATGCCTAAGCGGTACCCATCGGTCCCCCATGATCCCCTTTTTCTTATGTTAATTGAGAGCTGGTTTGATGAGATAACCTCCTGTCAGTGACCTTGCATGGAGGTCTAATCCCTCCTGGCCAAACTATTGCAGACAGGCTTTAAGTTAAGTTTTTAATAGGAGTATTGAAATGCTACTACAGTAAAACCTGTCTTAGTGGCCACCTCACTATAAAGGCCACCTGTCTATAGTGGCCATTTATTTTTGTTTCCCTTGAGAAGAATATGTGTTGTAGAACCTGTTTAGTCGAGCCATCTGTCTACAGAGGCATCTCTTTCTGTTTCCCTTGGGTGGTCTTTATATACAGGTTTGACTGTATTATTAAATGCTCTTATGACGCCATCATGATTTCCCAGTGCCAATGTCATTTATCTGAATTTGCCACTCTCAACCCAGGTGTAGTACATTTTAAATCATTATCGGTACGTGGTAGACAGTAATAAATTCTTTGAATGCTTTAGGCACCTAAGGGTAGCTTGGCTACAGGGTGACTAAAGTATTTTGTAGGCATCTTGGGCATTCACCCCCTGGGCTGGATATGTGTGTGGTATAAATGTAGCTACATTTATACATTTATACATCAGGCTACTGAATCATCTAAGATTCTTGTACTGACAAGCCTTGGGCAAGTTGGCACTGTAGAACAATTCCAAGATCCCATGATACTCACAGGCGAAAGAATGGACAATGCACTTTCAAATTACTCTGCAACAACTGGATATTCCTTAAATTCTATAAAGTAAATACCGTAAAAACTTTGTAAATTACTCACCTTTCTTTTCTTTCAGAAGTAGCTCTGCCCTATCTCTGTCTCTAAAATATGCCTCTAGTCCGGCCAACCCAGTATACACCTCTGCATCGTCCTGGAAACAATCTGACGTTTTCAGGCTGACCAGGAAGCGTTTCTTCTCCACATTGACCTCTGTGACCTTTGCCCTCAATGTTTGACCCACTTCATAGAGCTTGGAAGTATCACTGACAAACTCATCGGACATCATCTGTGTATATAAATTTCGGTTTGAGACCAATGTACATAATTCATACCACAATAAATGAAAGCCTTTGGTTGAATTCAAATTCAAGATAACAATATTTATTTTTTACAAACTTTGGTACTAAAGTCATATTTGCTTTTTTGAGATACTCTGAAAACTATTAGAATCAGACAAATAAAAACAGTCCTAGGGACTGGCCATGATACTGCACAGTGAAAGAAATACATGGGGGCTCAGGGCGAATTAGCCCCCGAAATGCCCAAAAGAGCCCCAGAAAGTCATAAAAGTTTGAATAGAGTTCAATGCAAAACAAATTAAAGAGTGTTATTTTCATGCAAGCAAGGTTGAATAGTAGCCCCTAAAAAAATTTAAATAATTTTTTCCCTGATACTGCAGTTTTTAAAAGGGTAGTGGGGCACCTACATGTACATGTCCAGCATGTCCTATTAGAAGGACTTAAAGTACAGCATGTGCTGGTGTATTTATTGGTGGAGGGCTCATGGGACTGTTTAGTTGTTATTGGTCTGGTGGTTTTGTGCCTCCTAGGAGTGTGTGCTACATTCTGATGAGTAAAAGTACCATCAAAGGTTTGGTAAAAATAAAATTAAGTACATACCGCCTTTGGTGCTAAGCCCACAATATGATTCGGGAATTCCACAAAGACTCCGTAAGACATGGTGTGACGTAGGACGCCAATGAGGAACATGTTGGTCTCCAGCTCTGAGAAATCACGGACAATCTCGGTTTTGTTCCTGGCAGCATTTAAGAGCAATGGCTTGCATGTCACAATCTGAATTTTCGGGTCAAGGATGTAATTTTAAGCGATATAGGCCTACATGCTGGCAAAAAACCTTTTTAAAGTTGAGGAAATGTCTCTATGCAAATAGGGGTCACTAGAGAGACATATGAAATTCAAGCAATACAATGATTCTCTTTGTTTCTACGTGTTAACATATTAATTACAGATTCAATGTGACCTATAAAGATATGTTTTTACACCATTCATCTCATTTTGTATAAATACGACAGCAATCAATAGCAGAAGGATAAAACCATTGCTCATAGGTTCATGATTTTCTGTGCTTCGAGATAAAATCAAAGTGCTCTATGCTTTTAATTCAAGAATAATTTCTTTTCTTCTGTAATCTATGCCAAACTTACTTAAGATATATCTTCATCACTAAATGAATTTTGAGTTATTATTCCAAAATTACATAGGTAATAGATGCAAGAAACATTTAAGCACTTTCAAGGATACACAAGTCCTGGACTTGCCACTGTAGGACCAAGTCAGGGCCTGGTCTATGACATCTCCCTCACTGTAGCTAGCAAGAAGAGCATCACATATATCAGGATGGTCGGAGAGATGGGTCTTAGGAATGAATGCTGGCTTGTTGCCAGGCAACTGGATGACCTCGAGTCCATCTTGTTTGACCTTGCTGATTTTTACTTTGACAATCTAGAGTGAAGAACAAAAACAGATTTTACCAGAGGATTACCAGAGGATTAACAGAGGATAAACAATTGCGATGAAGTTTACAGTTAAATAATTATAGCACCACACAACCAGTCACCAAGGAATTTACATTGGTGCATCAAGACTGAGTACACACCAATCGTTCTTATCCATCAGAATATTTTCATCATTAATACTGTCACAATACATCATTGAAAGACATACACGCAACCATGGGCCATACTAAAAATCATCCCCATACATACATACATGTAACTGCTTGACCTCTCAATATCTTCATCTAGATCAGAGTTATCCACCTATGATTACAATCTGTCAAGGTGGTGTCCATTTGCTCAGGGCAACTCGGTTCGGACGCCTTGATGTTCTCCTGGGAGGTGTATTCAACTTCCCTGCACACATATCTAAGGTCACCCTTAGAAACACTCACACACCCACATTTACACAAGCACGCTCATCCACACTCACTCACCCAAGCACATTCACACTCACACACATTCACTCACCCACACACATCCACATGCACCCTCACTCATCTCTATGCAGTTACACCCACACTCAAACACATCCTCACACACATCCACCCACACTGGCACATCCACATGCACTCACACCCACTCAAACACATTCACACACCCACATTCACTAACTCACTCACACACACATTCACCCACACTGGCACATCCACCCACACCCACTCACTCAAGCACATGCACACTCACACACACCACATTCACTCACCCACGCACATCCACATGCACCCTCACTCCCACCCACATTCACTAACCCAAGCACACACATCCACCCACACCCACTTACTCAAGCACATTCACACACACCCACATTCATTAACCCACTCACAAACCACATTCACTAACCCACACACATCCACCCACACTGGCACATCCACATGCATACTCACACACACACATCCACACTCTCTCATCCACGTGCACTCACACCCACTCACTCACGCTACCTGACTTTTGCATTTTTTCAAAGATCTCCACATATAATTTTTCAGAAAAACTGCAACTTTACAATTCTCGTTAACATATGATTCAAAATTTATTTGGCAATATAAAAAGAAAAACATATCACAATAGAAAACTATACACGCAAGATCATACTTCCTCTTTAAAATGGGTCTATCATGCCTCGCATCGCACAATTTTGTTTTCAATTGACTTGGCTTTATAGAAACACAGAGAGACTCCTGTTATTTTAGCATGAATATTTGTGATTGTTTTTAAGACATTACAACATACAAGTACTTACAGATGTTGCATTTTTAATGCCCAAACATATGAAGTAAAAATGCAGGTTCATGAAAGCCACAGACCAACACTTAAAGATAAAGTTGAGTTAGAACTGGTCATGCAATTGCATTGTAAAAGAAACATTGTGGAATCGATCAAAAAAGGTTGATCATCTAGCATATAAGTATTGATGTATACTGCAAGGTTCTGGTTCATCAAGATTATAAGAAATTTGGCCCAGTCTTGGTAATCTAAAGTTACAAACACTGTACACAGAAAGATTTATAAACATGTAAGACTACACAAACATGGATAAGACTACACGAACATGTAGCATAAAAATCTGGTCCGATTTGTATAATGTTACATGCCATATTTAGAATATTAAGGCATTTGAAGAACCATACTTTTCAGGGAACTGTTTTTGTATGATGTTCTTCCACACTTGCATACCGGTAATACAATGATTACGCTCACAAATTATTTTCCACCTCTTCCCAGAACTTAATCTTCTCTGTATTAAAGTATTTTCCATACAACCATACAAATAAATGGGCTTCCTAGTTTCTCACACGTCCTTCTTTCATTTCTCTACTCAACTCATCTTTCTTTTATCAACTGATATTTCTGTTTAGACATGAAATATTGAATAATCTGAGAAAATCTAGGTAATGGAGTAACAAATCTCATTAATACCCTGAACATTCTGCACTTTCAAAGGACATATGATTTTTTTGATTAAAGTTTAATATGAAAAATATCTTAAAAACTGCCTTCATTAATTTCGTTTGTGCAGAACAATATCAACTGCCACATCATGGTACCACCCTTCTTCCTTTTTTCAGCAAATGCAGGTTTTTTGTACAAAATCTACCTCATTATTTCAGAGAGTATCAAACTTAAAGTTGCTCAAGTGTGGGTGTATTAGAGGGCAGCAACCGGACGGATGCACAGGAGCGTAATACACATTGGCTCAGGGTTATACAGTGATCGCCAAGTTGCCTACTTCACGAACAAATATATTACCCACGCTTGAACATCGTCAAACACTTATAATTTCTTTTGGCAATCCGATGGGCTTAAAAAAACTGACATACAAAAGAAGTCATTTGTCAAGGCTATAAATGTTTGAATAAAAAAAATAAAAAAATAAATGCAAAATGTGCACAACGTTTCACGACCCAATTTTCCGTTTCCAAATTTGCAAATAAGAACAAGCTGTAAAAAAAAATACTTTACAATCATGATATCACAAAATGAAGAAATTAATCACAACACAGTGTACTTAATTTATGTACAGCTCCATCACGACAAATGCACATTACAGTATGAAAAATAGTTCTTTACAGCCAGAGCTCAATTTGGATTCAATACCTCAAAATAGATATTTATTAGCAATAACTTTTTGCAATGCTTGCATATTCAAGAGAAGTGATTGTAACTTAAAGTCTTAAAGTCATGATTAACATTGACAGAATAAAGCAGACATCTTTTTAACAAGCTAAAAGCATATACATGCAAATATATGTGTACAAGTGAAATTAATCAAGTATAAATGAGACTAACTATACATATACTTGTTAATCTTGCTCCAAAGATATGACGTTGAGCACTGTAGCAGATTATAAAAAAATGAAATGTTTAAATGTATTTCAATGTACATACAACATTTTCAGAACTAGTATTATTGACAGTTTTGGAATAATAATGAAACCTTCCCATTTCAACACCTAAAATCAAACAAAAAATCAAATGCATCAGACAAATCCATGAATACAAATGTTTTAAAACTTCCTCCTCACACTACATTTCCCTAGACTTCCGGCCAGACTTTTTATTCATTCCCATCCATTTTCCCCAGTCTCTCTCTCTCTCTCTCCCTCTCTCTCATTTGCAATCCTTCTCTCGTCTCTCAGTTTGTCTCTCTTGTCACCCTTGCTTCATCTCTCTCTCTCTCCCTCTCTCACTTTCTCCTCTTTTACTCCGTTTCATCACCCTTGTGACTTCTCTCTCTTGCATCTCCCTTGAAACTTCTTTCTTGCTCTCTTACTCGCTCTCTCTCTCTTTCTCTTTGATGTTCCAATAGAATTTATCTGTTATCACGTAGGTATTTACAGTATGAATCAATAGCATCTAAGCATTCACTGTGGCACTTTGTTTTCTCAGCTTCCAGAACACCATACACGTCATATGTCGATCTAATGACATAACTGAGAATGTCCGGATCGATGGGCTGGGGTCCATCTGATTTTACCGTCTCATCAGAGCTACTGCTGCTATTAATTAACGTATCATCACCCACCATCTTCCTCAGGACACTTTTGGCAAAATCCCCTCTTGATCTGGCCCTAGTATGAATGTCAATGATGTCTTCATCAGATAAACTCTCCCAGTGTATTTCCTCCTCTATGTTTTCTATCTCACCGTCCTTATTAGTCTCATCATTCCCTGTTGCACTCTGCACCCGCTTTTTTTCAACGTGTCTGCTCTTAAACCTACCATCTTTTGGAACACTCTCGTTCATACTTACATCCATTGTTCCTTTCCTTGACTTACTCCCACATTTTTTCCAAAACAGGTATCTACAGTGTGCATTAATGCATGTGATGCATTCTTTAATGCACTTTTTCTTATCAGATTCTTCAATACCATACACATTAAACGTAGTCTCAAACGTGTAACTCATAACATCCGGGTCTATTCTTTTGACGTTTGGTCTTCCAGAGTTTGAACGTGCTATCCCAGAGCAGTTTCTATTGACCAGTATCTCATCACCAACAATCTTCCTCACGATACTTTTGGCAAAATCTGCTCTTGAACTGGCCGTAGTATGAATGTCAAGTATGGATTCATCTGATAAACTCTCCCAGTGTATTTCCTCATCTACGTTTTCTATTTCACTGTCTTTATCAGTGTCATTCCCTGTTGCACTCTGTACCCGCTCTTTCTCAACGTCATGTCTGCTCTCGAACCTTCCGTCTTTGGGAACACTCTCGTTCATACTTGCATCCGTTGTTCCTTTCCTTGACTTACTCCCACATTTTTTCCAAAACAGGTATCTACAGCGTGCATCAATGCATGTGGTGCATTTTTTAACGCACTTTTTCTTATCACATTCTTTAATATCATAAGCTTTAAACGTAGACTCACAGATGTAACTCAATATATCTGGGTCTATTCTTTTGACGTTTGGTCTTCCAGAGCCTGGACGTGGTAACCCAGAGCAGTTACTATTGACCAGTATCTCATCACTAACTATCTTTCGCAAGCAAGCTATAACAAAATTAGTCATTGTTTTCGCACATGACCTAATGCCAATTACTTCTTTGTCAGATAAACGCTGCCATGGTGGCATCTCTGTTCCCTGAGCCTTTCTTTCACTCATTCCATCCCTGTTTGACGGCTTCTTGGTTTGCGAGTTGAACAGTTGCCTACAATGCGAATCAATTGATTGGACACATTCCCGGCGGCATTTTTCCTTTGCATGTTCTTCAACACCATACACATCGTATGTTGTCTCCAGGGCATACTGTAGTATGTCAGGGTCTATCGCTTGCTCATATGGTCTACCTCCTTTCCCCGAGCAGGTGCTTTTAACCAGAATGTCATCACCAACTAGCTTCCTCAGTACACTCCTTGCAAAATTACCCTTCGAAATAGCCCTTTTATACAGGTGACAAATCACTCCCATAGACAATTTCTCCCACGCCATCCTCTTTTTTGAACAAGCTTTCTCTACATCTGTCGTCACCCTCTCTGAAGATGTTGCCTTTACTGAAATCTTCTCTTGACCCAAATCTTCCTTGTCTCGTTCTGACACACTGATTCTGGCATCACTTCTGCTATCCTCCTCTCCCATCTTATCTAATTGTACAGAATCTTCATCTATCCTTCTTGCACCTCTCTCTTCAATCCCAAAACCATCATCTCCACTGTCACTGTCATCACCAAGAATGTCCACAAACCGTTCAGCTTGATCATCATCACTTTCCTCCAAGTATTCATTACCTGTATAATTCTCATCCTCTCCCATGTTGACATGTGTTCTATAATCATTTTTAAGAATTACTCTTCCTGCATCCATCTTTCCTCCATCTCTTTCCTTTGGCTGTTCTTCCCGAGCATTGTCCTCTCTTACTCTCTCTCTATCTCTATTCTTCTGCTGTTTGTAACGAGCAGTGTCCTCTCTTACTCTCTCCCCATCTCGATTCTTCTGCTGTTTGTGACGAGCAGTGTCCTCTCTTACTCTCTCCCCATCTCTATTCTTCTGCTGTTTGTAACGAGCAGTGTCCTCTCTCACTCTCTCCCCATCTCTATTCTTCCACTGTTCTTCCCGAGCATTGTCTTCTCTTACTCTCTCCCTATCTCTATTCGTCTTCCCTGTGAGTTCTTGCAGCATTGATTTGATGTTTCTGATTTCAACCTTCACAACCTTCATATCTACCATCATGCAAGCAAATGCTTTCAGACTCTCTGCAATTTCCTGGAAGTAATCTATCTGTGATTGAATATTCCTATCAATCTCTTCTATTTTTTTCCTCTTCTCTTCTTCCTTCTTTGCCTCTCTCCTTGTCTCCTCCTCTACCTCTCTCCTTCTCTCCTCCTCTTTCTCTCTCGTTGCATTCTCCTGTTGATCTAGCAGATCCGGTTCATGCCATTCCTCTGGTTCCTCTATCTGTCTATCTTGTTCTGTTCCATTTCTGCTAAGCTTCTCAAAGTGACTGACCTCTGTTGAGGAATTCTGTGAACACATAAATGAAACAAACAAAACAAAACAAATCATGAAATTGAGTGTGATGAAACAACATTCACTTATCCACATGTGACGATCATTACTTTTGAAAGTTCACGTCTTTTCCATCCTAAAGACAATTCAGTTATATACTGTAGTAAAAACAATTATTAAAATGTTTTTAAATTCATTCTACATTTTTTTCCCCAAAAACAAGGCTTTTTTAAAAAGGAGCAATTTTCGCCATTATCACCCAAGTCGACATCTGCATTTCGGACTTCAAAGTTTACACACAGTGATACCAAAAATACACTTGAAGGGAAAAGAGAACCTAGAATTATCAATTGTAATATAGGGTTGTAAGGATGAGCAGTTATAAAAGACTCCTTTGTATAGCATTCATATCACCACACATAGTGGATGATAGAAACAAGTAGGCAATAAATCTTCATAAGGCAATAAATAATCTTACATTGCTTGCTGAAAGAGGTATTGCTTACTTTGACAAGAAGGAGAGTGGAAATATTCATTCTTTAACCCATATAAGAAAAACCAATCCACATACACAGAACCACCGTGACTTGGGTCAAAACTCAAGAATGACAAGGCCAACCAAATGATGAGCTCTTTTCCCTCAATAGAGGGACTTTATTCACTCCTCTTAAACTGGGTAACATCATTGTTAGTCTAAATGAGCGTTAACAAGATGTCATAGAGTCCCGAAGTGTGATGTCATACTGACCAAGTTGTCAAGGTTGCTCGTTCCAAACATTTTTGTGCTAAACAATGGTGTAGTGATCACACTAGCGCCAAATGCTGAATTTACCGTTTCAGCCCATTGCTTGAATGATTTTGTGGTGAACCTCATGTGCAGGCTCTGTTGTTCAGAACCAGTAACCTGGACGATGAGGGAGTATGACACTAGCACTTCAATACAATAGTGCAAAGTTTATATGACACAATAGAAAGATAAAAAATCAAGGGCCAGACTGAGACTAAAATTTAGCAATGCAATTAGCCTGAAAGTACCTACTCTAATAATAAATACCTAATTTATTATACTGATTGCCTTTCACATAACGAGTATTGCAGTTTTTCTCTGTCATGTTCAATGGCCCTTTAACCACAAATCAATGTGCCCTCGAGCCTGAACCTCCCCTTCCCCTGATCTCCCAGAAGGCAGTGTACCCCTAAACACAAATGTATGCTGTTGTCAGGCAAAGTACAAATACTTTTACGTTTTCAATTAAATTAAATCAATGTTTTATTTTATAAACAATTATTTAGAATGGATTCTGCCTTTACCCGGTACATATTTGAAGAAGGATGATTCACGTGATGGCTCGTCTTTTTAGCTCAAAGTCTTTCCAATGGCGAATGTGACTATAGCGATATGATGAACAGCCTGAAAGAAAATATGAAACGATAAGACCAATTCCACCAAAGTATCATTCATAATCCTAACAAAAATAATGAACATTACCTATTAGGAAAAGATGGAAAAAACAAACCAGGATTTGCTCTCTTATATATATATATATATATATGTCATACATTACGTTATCCTTTGCAATTTGTAAAATTATGCCTAAAGAGTAAACAAGTGATGAAATATATTTTTTTGTAATTTTCAAGTACATGTACAAAGATCCGTTTGTAAATTTTTTAAAGAAGACATTTTTGGCACATGCAAGTTGTGACACTGAATGTTTTACTGTTTATTTCACGGTAAAGTTATAGTAGTCTACTGCAGACAACTTTATGTCAAATTAATATTTAATATTCAAACACGGAATTATGCAACTATTTCATATATAAATTTGAATATAAATAATATAAACAGCTACTCAAGTCAGGAAAAATACAGTTTATGCATGTATGTACACCAACTTGTCAGCTTAGATCCTACTAGTATCATACAAGTGCTAAATACGGGTGTCTGCCTTTGCTTGATGTAAAAACTTGCAAATATACCTTAAACAAGACAAAGCACTCACCTGAATGTTTTACCATTGGTAGCGATATCTCCTTGTGAACTTGTATGATCACATCTGCGGCATTGCTGCGATGTCTGTATTGTGGACAAATATTCTTTATGCTATATGTTTACCGGTAGTATTTTTTATAACGTACTCGGTAATCAAAATCATCATTTTAAATTTTCGCTATATGGGTAAAAATACACTGCCATACATGTAGTTGACAAATGAAGATAAAGTAGAACAAAGTAAGATGTATAGCCAGGGGTGATGGGGCAGTTGCCCCCCCCCCCACCCCCCCCCCCCCCAAGAAAAAAAAAAAAAAAAAAAAGACAGAGGGAAAGAGGAAAAAGTGAAAGAATAGACAATAAAAAGGTAACTATCTCAAATCAGTGCTAAGCGCCACTTATCTTTTTCTTAATATTTGATTACTGTAAATCTCTGTGTATAAGACACTTTTTTCCCGCCAAAAATAAAATTGAAAGTCGCACCCCCGACTTTCAATTTTATTTTTGGCGGGAAAAAAGTGTCTTATACACAGGTACACAACAAACAATAATTAAGTGTCGATTTATGCCCCTCCACCTGACCTGTGCCTGACAATGTCTCCCAGCTCAGTCATACAAGGTGTGTTGACTCACCACTCGCACCAATACAGTCACAGTAAGATACTGTAAAACTGTACTAGATTATATAATCTGTAATCCAGGTTACAAAGTTGCAATAGTAATGTACTGTCACTATTTGTCACCTGGTTTATTGTGATGGCACAGCATCAAACTGTAGGATCGAACTACAACAACACCTGTATGGCCAGATATCTGTTTGGAAAATTTGCCTTATATCTTTAGTTTTTAGTTTTTGAACATGGATCTGGCTTACTGCCATACATGTCATATGTGATGTTCAAGATACACCTCAGAATGTCTGGATCAATTGGTTGGGCAAAGGATTTTTAAATTATTTTTGTTTTGCCCCGGAAATAGGGGTGCGTCTTATACACAGAGATTTACGGTAAACATTACACTGCTTCCTCTAAATGCATTGCCTCCCAAAGAAGCACTGCCCCTGCCCCCCCCCCCCCCCACCCTCTCTCTCTCTCTCTCTTTCTCTCTATCTCTCTCTTCCTTCCACTCTCTCCCTCATTCCCACCTTCTCTCTCCTTCCAAATATTCCTAAACACTCTCCATAATCTCCCCCCTTAATTTACTCTGAATTTTGGGGGTTCCATGCCAGTATACTACATGTGTAATACCCGGTTCCAACATTACCCCTGTATAGAAACATTTACAAAATGTTAAATGTTCCTTACAGTGAAAGAAATAACCAACAAGTTGTAAGTTTAAGAAATGCACTTTTTCATTTTATTTTACAACAAACAGCAGTAGAAAACTGTCCCTACTCGTTTGTAACTTTGTACTTCTAATAGTTTTATTATACAATGATTCAACAAAAATATACATTGAAACTAACTGCTCTCTAGCTCTAGAAATATGAAGTATGAATGTGACATATTACAATTGTATATTTATAACTGCCCAACACAATTTCACTTATTCTTTTAAAAATCCTTTAGAAAAAAAAAGCTTCACCAAAATGGGGAATACTACAGTGGACTCTACCCAATTACACTGTTGACTATGAAGTTGCAATAATTCTTCATACCTCTTTTTCGTGAATTGATTGTGACAATATATGGTTTATTCTTGGTAGGAACTGCAAAAGCAATACTCCATTTAAATATCTTGTAAAAAAATAACTTTCTTGCTACAATTGTTACATTTCATTATCAACAAAATAATGACAAACACACAAAAAAAATCATCATTCAAATATGAGTTATTACAAAATGGGAGTATGTAGAGAATATTAAATTTAATAACAAATGTGATAAAGCAAATTACATGCAGACATTTTTTTAAATAGAACATAATGTAACAAGCTCTGATAAATCTTGAGTAGTACTCGCAAATATGTGCACCAATTTCACATGACAGTATTAATTTTAAAAACTAAAACAAAATAAAATTTTATAGAATCTACACTACCACACAAAGACTTCTTTGCCTGCAGGCTATGCTTTTTGCCATGTGTCAGTGTACGGCAAGAAATTCAATAAATATTTACAAAATTGAGGTTACAAAGTTGCAACAGTAATGTACTCTCACTATTTTTCACCTGGGTTATAGTGATGGCACAGCATCGAACTGTAGGATCGAACTACAACAACACTACCTGTATGGCCGGATTTGTCATCTTAAATTTTTGAAATGACATTGTTACTAATATTTGTGACAATTTCACAAGAACAAATCGGCGCCTTCAACTGCACCTCGCAGTAAAATAAAGGGGAGGTTTTTTTATTAATAATGAATTGGCTCCTAAAGCTGCATCAATTTATTATATTGTCTTTCAGCTTTCCTCTAACTATCAGATAAATGAAAATAAACTAATGAGAATAAAAATTGCAAAACGCAAAGAAATAACTCAATTGTAAAAAATCCATGCTCCATTGCCAATTTGGACACTTCCATGCTTATTTTCAATTTACTTGTTCTATCTGCTCATGAATTATGTGCAATTCCTTCTTGATCAAAAGATAATGGAATGTAGCCATTAAAAAAAACATTTTAACTGCTATGGGTTAAAGCATGATTTCTCTACTTTTGTTACTGTGTACATAATGTAAATAGGTCCAGTCTTGACAAAAGACTGAAATGATTGAAGAAAAAAAATGATGCCCCTCAAAATTTGATGGAAACTTACACAGGCTAAAGTAACAGAATTATCAATGCCAATGAACGATACAAGAATCCTCCATGTACAACTGTAATTTTTACCATAAAGTATTAAGCTAGAGGAGTATTAAAATTCAAAGAAATAATGTAACATTGTCACACCAATATATGTATAATCTTGCTTTCTATAACATTTTGTTTTCATTTTTTTCTTTCTGCCATTTTTGACAGTTAAAACGTGCCTTTTTATCATACAAGAAGATCCAAAAATTAAACTGAAAAATGTTATAATCTAAAAATGTGATAATTGTCTACAGAATCAGATTGACAGTGTACAGGTTCATGTACTTTTAAAACAAGACAAAAAATAAGAAAGATTGCTTCCCTCCTGTTAAAAAAATCGCTCCCTCGTGACATAGCAAAAATCCTCTTTTCTAATTTAGCACATGAGCGGATGTAAAAAAGGTCTTCACGGTAGTTATTACTAAATGTAAGTACCGGTACTGAAATTTGTTATTCCTTCCCTATAGACTCTAGTCTTTATTGATTGAACCAATCGTCATAATCTTCTCTCCATCATCGTTCTCCCCTGCCTTCACTTTCATCATCACCATTTCCATTTTATTCATCTAAACTCATCAGACATTTTCAAAATCAAAATCAGAACCTTCTGCTTCTTCTTCATCTTCTTTGTCTTCTTCCTCCTCCTCTTCTTCATCTTCCTCTTCTTCATCTTCCATAGATGTCCTCCACCCACCCATCATCAGCATTATTCTGTCTTTTTCCAGGCATAGCTCTCGTTTTACGATGCAGTTGCCGGCAATAGTTATCAATGTAAGTGGTGCATTGGCTTTTGCATATATTCCTCTCCACTTCAGCCACATGATATGTACGATATGTTGTGTCCAGAACATATCTAAGAATGTTAGGGTCGATTGCTTGGACATTGGATCTCATTGCTCCGCTCTTCCCAGCACAGTTGCTATTCATCAGAATGTCATTGCTTATGAACTTGCTCAAGAGCCGCCTAGCGAAACAGGACCAGTTACTAGATT